GCAGGCCAAGGCTCTATCCACTGAGCCAGACCGGCTAGGGCTACAATTTTTATTTCTGAGCTTGGCTAGCATGGCTTAGTGGTTGAGTGTCAATCTATGAATCAGGAGGTCACTGTTCAATTCCTGGTCAGGGCACATGCCCTAGTTGAGGCCTCAATCCCCAGTGTGGGGTGCGCAGGAGGCAGCCAATCAATGATCCTCTCTCATCATTGATGTTTCTATCTCTCTCTCCCTCTCTCTTCCTCTCTGAAAAAAAAAATATATATATTTAAAATTTTTTTTTTTACTTCTTACTTCGATAGAAAGATGTGGTAAAGCTTTCTCAGTATCTTATTGTATGATATTCTCAAGCCAGCACTTAAGGTTGGTAGGCCAATTTCATAAATTGCTTTGTAAGTTAGAAATTGGAAATACCACTTCTTGTAAGCACCATTTGAATTACGGAGCCAATTAATTTTCTGCCCTTACTGGCTTGTGTCAGTCCTTTAGTGTCTAAAATGAGCTTTTACATTGTTCTTTGTAAACAACGACAGCACTATTTGCTTACCTTTCATCTTTTGTACTTTATCCTTGCTGGAGAATGCAGTTTGTGTTTTTTTCATTGTTCAGTTGATTTTAAAGCTGTTTGAGTCTGGCCTATTTAAGAACTTGTATCCTATATTGTGTATGCAATAAATACTTACATATGTAGATAAATATCGGTGGAAATAGGTCTTAGTGGTACTTTAGCACAATGAGGTGATAGAAGGCTAAGGAAGAGCCAGGGTTCTGCTTCCTGGAGTCTCCCTGACATTTGTTGGAGGGCGTTTCAGTGAGTGCTTTTCTTATGAGTCCAGAGTGATGACAGCAGGAGGGCCTGGATAGATGTGAGCGAACCCTTGGCAGGTTCCCAGGGGTGGAAACCTTTGAGGAGATATCGGTGTTTATGAATATTCTTGACAGTGGAATTAAAAAAGGATAGTTTGCAAGGCTTTAATATTCAATAAACTCTGGTTCAGTAATGCACCATTTGAAAGGCACACAGATCTGAAATTAATAAGGGATGGCCCCTTGTAAGGGAGGACGGTGAGGGCCATGTTTTTGAAGAATAGACACATGGCTCTTTGGAGTTAGTGTAAGTAAATCCTGTAAAACAAGGGAATAAACTTGATGGAGAGATGTGGAACTGAATGGACGTATTGACAAGTGGTGCCATAGTTAAGTTGGTGTCTTTTTACATTTTACCTGTTTCTCTCGCGTCTTCTTTTCCCTTCGTTGAACTGATTGTATTATTTTGTTTCCTGCTTTATAATGGCTGGTGAAATGTGTCCATGTAGCAGTACAACAATATAAGTTATTACCAAGCTTGTGGATAGCTGTAAGTTTATCAAAGGCGGTGCAAAATAACTTGAATGAACAGTGAGAGAGGCCTCAGGCAACTCTCACTCCTTAGGAGGTTCTGTTTCTTTAGCCAGGTGGTCCTTGGAGAATGCTGGTACTTTTCAAGCTACAATAAAGATGCTGCCTTGCCTTAGCCGGTTTGGCTCAGTGGATAGAGCGTCGGCCTGGGGACTGAAGGGTCCCGGGTTTGATTCCGGTCAAGAGCACATGACTGGGTTGTGGGCTCGGTCAGATGTGCAGGAGACAGCCAATCAACTATTCCCTCTCCATCATTGATGTTTCTATCTCTTTATCCCTTTCCCTTCTTCTCTGAAATCAATTAAAAAAACCCAACAATAACAACAACAAAAACCCACCACTATTTCCAGGTCCCTTTCCCTTCTTCTCTGAAATCAATTAAAAAAAAACCCAACAATAACAACAACAAAAAACCCACCACTATTTCCAGATGCTCTGGCCTCCTGAACATATTTGCTCCACCCTTTTAGGCATACCCCCTGGAAGGACAGAGTCAGCTCTCTGGAATGTGGACTCTCTTTCTGTCTCTTTGCACTTGGAAAATTGCTCTCGTTCACTTTCTATGTATGTTTATTTTTGACAGGGCGAGACCTTTTTCCCTGGCTCATCTTTTCATTATTCCTCAGTCTTGGAATGCACTGCTGGAGATGGTGGGATAAAGACATTTGGAATTTCCCCTTCTATCGTCATAATTACCAACCTTAGTAGACTCACCTCCCATGTGTAAGATTTTTAAAAATATATATATTTTTTTATTGATTTCAGAGAGGAAGGGAGAGGGAGAGAGAGAAACATCAATGATGAGAGAGAATCATTGATCAGCTGCCTTCTGCATGCCGCCCACTAGGGATGGAGCCCACAACCAGGGCATGTGCCTTGACCGGGAATTAAACCTCCTGGTTCATAGGTCAATGCTCAGCAACTACTGAGCCATGCTGGCCGGACCCATGTGTAAGATTTTAATGTTACCCTTTAAATCATTTGGTCTGGCCCTACCAAGGCATTAGGGGTGAGTTAACTATATGTTTGACCAAATACAGCAGGCTAATTTTTAAGTCAATAATTTTATATGCCCCTCGAATGATGGTATAAATATCTAAATGGCCCTTGGCAGAAAAAAGGTTCCCCACCCCTGCTTTAAACCAACCACTTGCTGCTGAAAACAAATGGCTCCAGTCCCCGTGTTCCCCACCCCCCAACTTGCTCTTCTCTCTAGTTTATCTCACTTGTTACAACACTCATTTGGAGCAATGGTCCTTCTGTGGCCCATGCCCTAAACTGTGCTTGGTGACATCACACACATTTTCTCTGTGTTCAGGGGCAAGCTTCTGGGAGGCCAGAACAATGACGAATGATGACCTTAGGTGGCTTCATGTTGCTCTTGTCACCTTGACCAACCACTCATGTCCTTGACAGATACTCTGTCCCGGAGGTGCTTCCCTCTCCATCCCCCATGGAGTATTCTGTGTCTTTATTCAGACTAACTGGTTCCCCAGATGTTAAAATGTTGGGACAGTGCTCTTTCTTCCCTGGTCTTACATTTTAAATTATAGTCAAAGGCAATTCACCAAAGGTTTGGGGAGAGAGGGAGGGGGTATCCGATTAGTAAGAAACAAATAACTTAAAAAAAATTAAAACAAAAACAAACGAATAGCTGATACCAAAGTCATATCCTTTACCTCTCTCTCCTGCAGTTTTCCTTCCAGTCCCCAAGCCTGTCTTTCCACATGTTCTTATCACGTGGGATTGGTTTCCTGCAGTTGGAAAGATAGCAAAAGCTACGCTGCTTCAGTAGAATTGTGCTCTCCCTCCCTTCTTTGTGCTTGAAATGCTGCCTCCTGCTCTATTGGCCTTACGTCTGCCAGTCTCTCTCAGGTTCCTTTCTTGTATCTTGAGACACACTTATTAAATTTTCATCTGTAACTCAATCTTCGTACTTTGCTTTGAGTTTTGTGTGGGCGTATTTTCAAACTCCTGGCGTTGAGCTGTCAGTTTTCCTGGGCCTTGCGCTATATAAGCAGGGCTTCTTCAGACGTATCCCATCAAATAGCCCTCTTGCTGTAAATGCTATCTTTTCCTTTTTTCTCTTCAGATCAGTGAAATTATTCACAGTTTTATATGCAAGGGTTCTTGTGCTCTTTTCCTCACTTATGTGTTGTAATGATGTAGGGAAGACAAATGTTGCCTACCCAGGGGCTTGGGGGTATCTGATTGGTAAGTTTATCATCAATGCCAACCCGAGAGCTACTTTCTATGCTGCCTTAAACATGTATTCTAGACCTGCACTGCCCCGTGCAGGAGCCACCAGCCAGCCACATGTGGCTGTGCTGCATGTGAGATGTGGCAAGTCCAAGTTGAGATGTGCTCTAAGTATCAAGTACACAAGGAATTTCAATGACCTAGTATGAGGAAAAGAATGTGAAGTAGCTCACTAATAATTTTCATATTAATTACATTTTGAAGTGATATTTTGGATATATTGGATTAAATAAAATGTTATTCACTTCCGCTGTTTCTTTCTGTTTTAAAGCATGGTTAGTAGCAAATTCAAAATTACACATTTGCCTCGCATTGTATTTCCATTAGACCGTGCTCTTCTATGAGAGTATAAGTAGTGTCAGGGAAGGTAATGATATAATTTGAGACTTACAGCTCTTGCATACCACTCACTGGAGGTAGTAATTGAGCAGTTTGCCTATAGCTGTATTGGCCTACTTTCAAAAGGAGACTCCCGGGTTTGGGAATCCTCTAATGCTGTCACGTTCTTCAGATGCTTAGAGGGTGAGTTCCAGTTACTTGATGCTCTAGTTTGAAATAGCAGTAGTGCATCATTTGACAGGTTCTTGTTCTGATACTGAGTCAGTGCAGAACTTTTTAGAACTCTGGTGTGTACCAGATACTTTTCTAGGTCCTTTGGATGCAAAGAGAAATCTCATCCCCGACCACGAGGGACTTAGTCACAGCATGGTATGCAAACAAGACATGAGTATGATTCATCGTTCAATAATAGAGGACTGCACAGTGGCTAGGGGAGTCCAGAGGAGATGATGGGGCAGGAAGTGTAGTCAGGAAAGACCCTGTGAGGAGATGCGGCTGCTTGTATTCTTTCAGAGTCCATTCCTGAGAAAGTAAATAAAGGATGTGGGCTTTGGGTGTAGAAACAGCCCATTCGGCGACCTGGCATAATGGTGCACTTCCCATCTCTGGACATTAGGCTCAGTTCAGCTAGGATATGAGATGTGTTTAAATTGGTCCCCTGCAGGCCTATCAGCTATCAATTAGGTTGTGATAGTCTTCTCTCAAGATAAAACCTTTTGTGTTGTCCTCAGGAATCAATTGAAGAAAGCATGTAAATGCTCCTCAGGTTTGTTTCCTGCAGTCTTTTCTGTATATGCAGAAATGTGCATGTGAATGAAACTGAAAGGAGGGGAAAATCGAATAACTTTGCCTTTTTCTGGTGGAAACGCAAGTCAGTTTGGAAAGCTACCAGAGTGTTGTGTAATGTTTTCAGTGGCTGAAGCAGACCCGCTCAGGTTTCATTGCTGCGTCGCTGTGTGTTGGGGGTGGGGGACAGCAAGTGACACAGCATACAACAGACACTTACATAACCATGACTTCAGGGGACAGGAGCAGGCTGTGAATGAACCTCCCAAACTCAGGAATATGATAGCAGAACACAGCCTTTGAATTTCTCTCTCGCTTGGCTTGAAAATCAGCTTCGGAAACCTCTTTCTCTCAAACTAGACTTCCGTTACTCTCAGAACTTCTTTCCCTTCCCCTCCGGCCATCAAGTTCATGGACATATAGCATGTTAGAATTAGAAGGGGGTTCAGACGTCTCAGAGTGCCGTTCACAGGTAAGTCTCAGCCTGCCTGCTGCTGGATTTCCTCGGGGTCCCTCCACGGCAGCAACAGCCCTGTTCCTGGAGGCCCAGCGTGAAACTCCTTCCTGGCAGATTAAGTTCATTGCCAATTCTTCGACTCTCCCTTGCCTCCCAGCAGAATTTCCGGATGTAGTAAATAAAGGAGTCAGTTTGTTTTGCTGAGGGGACGAAGTGGACTCCGAGGGGACTGAGGTGGAGTGTGGAGTGTGATTTGCCTCGGATCCTGCAGTGGAGGGTGCCAGGTGATGTGGAGGCTGATCTTATCAGATTCCGTTCCTTCTGCACAGATGGCAGAGGCTTCCGCTTACCTGCTGCCGCATCTATCGCCTCCCTTTCACTTGAATCCTTGCCCTTCACTTGAGTTTTGATTTGAAATCCAAAACAGTGGAACCACAAAGGGATGGTGTTAGAAATGGATCTTATCTCATCAGCATCCTCAGGTTGTAGATGAGGATATCGAGGTCCCGGAAGGGCTTGTGTACTTGTTGGAGGTCATCCAGCTGATACAGAATCCTGGTGTTCATTTCCTAGTCTAACTTTCTCTCTCATACATTTGTGTGTTTTTTAAGCCACACATATTTTTAAATGGTCAGAGTAAAGAACAAATAAAAAACAAACAAACCCTTAAGAATTATGGAGACTACTGTTCCTTTCTATTTGACCATAATTTACATGATGCTTGTTTTGGGGAACTGCTTGTTTTGAGGAACCTCTTATTTTTGTAAATTGCTTAAGCGTTTTTGAGGTGATGAGGGTTGAAAAGGTAGCGTGGTTTGGATTTTACTAAAATTCCTTTTACAATAACATTTTTGTGTGAAAGATGTTAACAGACAAAAGTAGAGGGAACGGTGCCACCACCTGACTTGAACAGTGATCACTCATCACTATCTCCTTGTGTAAGTTGAATTGGCTGTGGCACTTTTACTTCTTACTCGTGTAATTATGCTTTTTTTTGCCAGGAAGCATTTCTAGCTCAGGTGCTTATCCCAAAAGTTTCTTTGAGCAATTTACTTAGCCCGGATGATTGCAAAGCTCCGAGCAAAGTTTTGTGTGTTTTTTAAAATCTTTTTGCCACCGTATTAGGTAAGATAAGCTAGCTGCTATGGCCAACCCCACTAATTTTAGTGACTTACAGGTGAAAGTTTATTTTCAGTTTCAGAAAAGTACGGGGTACGTTTTTCCTGATGAAGGAAAGGGGAGGTGGGATTCAGGGGTTCAGGCTTCTTCCACGTTGTGACCCGACCGTCTTCAGTCCACGCTTTTGACATCGCCCAGCTCGTCTGCATCAGGCCAGCGCAGGGGCCTAGCAGTGGCGCACATTTCACACGCTCCTCTCATTTCATTGGCTAGCGCTCAGTCACGTGGCTCCACTGAGCCGCAAAGGCAGCAGGGAAATGTGGCCTGTTACTCGAGGAAGAAAGATGGCTTGGTGACCAGCTTACCTACTGCGCATGCGTACCCATGTCTCATCCTGGCCTGGTGCCGCATTTATGTTCCTACGCAGAAAGCGCAGTAGAGCCCTGGCCGGTGTGGCTCAGTTGGTTGGGCATCTTCCTGCGCCCAGGGCAGGGCACATGCCCAGGTTGCGAGGTCGACCCCTGGTAAGAGGCGTGCAGGAGGCAACCTATGGACGCTTCACTTTCCCTGCGATGTTTGTCTCTTTCCCCTCTTCTCTCTTTAAAAATCAGTAAAAAAATACAAAAATCTTGGGGGTGGTGGGGAAGAAGAAAGAAAGCAGTCCAGTAGAGTCTGCTTCCTAACTCCCTGGTTGAAGAAGCTATTTTATTGTGGCTCAAAAATCATTACATTTTCTTCTGCTTATGAAATTATACCTATTTATTAGATAAAATTTGAGAAACCCAAGAAAACACAAAGACGATATAAAAACTAACAGTAATCCCAGCACTTGGCAATAATTATTATTAATCCTCTATTATATTTCCTTCTGATTTCAGAATTTTTAACTACTTAGAAATATTAATAAAATTTCACTAATTATTATTTTATGCTGGCTTGCAAATGCCACAACTAGGGAGGAGGGGAAAACAACAATAATAACGTGGCGATTTTGCCTTTTCTCAGCAAAGATGGACTATTGCAGAGCCATGGTGAGGTTTGCACTTTTGGCAGTTTTTTTTTTTTCCAAAACACACACGCACACACACACACACCACTTTTGGCATTTTTGAAATGAACTTCTTGCTTACACATCATAATCCTTACCCTTAGTAAACATTGAGGCTGGTAAAATTTGTGGTATATTAGAGTGGCAAGGCAGGGATAATATCTTAACTTTCTGACTACTTCCTACTCAATTTTCAGACCTCTTGAATATAGCTTTATTTTCAAGGAGAGAATGCTAATAAAAGGTGTTTCAAACTGAACCCAAATGAAATCTTGCAAACGTGAAAGATATAAAATCACATTCCTGGCAGCGAGCTGAGTTCTCAGATGGATGTGCTGTTCTCTGCTTACCTGCATTGCCTTCCAGGCCAGCAGTGGGGGAAATGCTGCTGATCTGAGATGGGAGGGTCACTTGTTGGGAGAGAAGGTACATTTCTTGAGTCATCAGTTCTAGATCCAGGGATACAGGACCTTCTGGTTTTTCCTTAAAGTGCTGAGGTTGCAGCCTAGACCAGCATCAGAATTCCTGTTTGTGAGGTCAGCATCATGACCTCACAGCCAGGGTTGCTCAAAATGTTTGCCCAGCTTCTGGCAGGATCTGAGCTGAGGCCTGGCCCGGTTCTCCAGACACCATGAGGTACCGCTTTGTCCCATATTGGCAGATTTGTGTTGACTTTTCTGTGACTTCCTGTAGATAAAAAGCAAAGACATTGATGTTAGGCCCTCCATAGTTTATTGAAAACGATTGTATAATGAAAATCACTGTTTTAAAACGTCCTCTGGCAGGACATTTAAAAATAGAAAACTCACCAGTAACGCAGAGGTGTTTTACTGTGTGAATGAGTATGTGGTTAACCATTTGCTATGGCAATGGCATTGCTATTGCCAATAACCATTGGCTCTATTTGCTATGAAACTTGCCATCAGTTTTCCCATTTCTGCAAATAAACTTAACATTTTTTGTTCAGTGCAAACGCATCTATAGCACCAGGTAAGTAAACATTTGAAATGATGAGCCTTGGTTATCAGTGGTATCAATTATTTATGACCCAGAAACCTAAATTCACATGCATCACAATTGAGAAGTTACCCCCTTTTGCTTTTAATATATATTGCTTTGCTCTTTGTACAAGTTTTAGTTGGAGTTGGAAGAAAAGGTGTTGGTTTATACAAATACCCAGAAACCTAGTCTCTGAGGGTTAATACATATAATTTTCTTAAGGATTGTGCCAGCACTTGATAAATTATCTACTGCCATCCTTTATTTAAATAGACATTGGACCCTCCTTCCAAATTTGATTCTGTGAGTTTAAGTTGGGAGATTATGTGCCCTCCCCCCCATTTTTTTGTTTTGTTACCTCTTTTTCTCCCTGCATATAGCATGTCAGCATTAAAAAGACTCAACATCCCATTTTTTGAGCATCGTCCTCTGTGTTCCCTATCCCGCCCCCTCTCTGTAACAGTCACATGTCCCAATTTTCTTAAACATGTAAGACCTGTAGTCTTAAAATATTTACTTTCTTTGAGACGAGGAGCCCTTTATGGATTCAGTAGGTGTATTCCCTTTCAAATGCGTCTCTAACTGGGTTGTCTATAACACAGCTCTTTAGAAATGAGCCATCCTGTCCACAGAGGTTGTAGAAACGAAATTGCTGATTTAATAGTAACATCTAGTTACGGGGACAGTATGTAACTGCTGTAGATCAGTTTTCATTATTAAAAACAATTCTGTGCTTTTAGCATTTATTCTTATACAGGATGAATAGAATTGAATCTTTAACTTTTGAGTTTCCATTCCCTTTGCAAGATCTCTTTTGTGGAAGGGTATAATTTCATAAGCAGGAAAAAAATTTAATGATTTTTTAAAAAAAATATGGTTTCCATTCCCTTTGCAAGATCTCTTTTGTGGAAGGGTATAATTTCATAAGCAGGAAAAAAATTTAATGATTTTTTAAGCCACAATAAAATGGTTTCAACCAGGGTTTTTGATGGTGTGTGAACTGTAGTGAGTAGTAGCAGAGGGGGCTGATCCCAGAGGCATTTTGAACTGACACCGGTCGTCTCCTGGATCAGCTGGAACGGGAACCTCTCTGTGTGCCTTGCATCAAGTGTTAGATGGCCCTAGCTTCACCTCCAAACTTGGGATTCATTCCTCAAGTCATGGGATTTTTCTCCTCCCCCTCCTTCAGGGTCCTGGTGACTAACCCATTGTGTTTTTGTTGTTGTTTTTTTTAATACAAGTGAATTTATTTCTTATCTGGATATTATTAATATTCTTACCTTTATGAGGCATATTTGAAGTGATTGCTTATTAAGAGGAATAAGTGCAGTAAGCATATGTATTATGTCTTGAGAAGGCTGTGGTCTTGAACATATCCCCACCCTCTGAAAATTTGTTTACAACAGAAGACAGATTTGTATGTGCTTTCCTGTTCAAATAATGTGTAGTGAGAGAGGTTATATCTGAGAGGAAAGTGGGGTGCTTGGATTCTTGGAAACAATAATAGCTAACATTTGTGGTGTTTACTATGTTCTAGCATTGTTCTGATCACTTGAAATCTCCCCAGATGCTAGTATTTTCTAACATCTAACATGCTAGACACGTGTGTACCAAACTTTGACTTCCTGGAGGGTAGGACACTTTTTGGGGGGGGGCGGGGGGACACAGGAGGAGAATAGTCCTGCTTTCTGGAATCTTAAGTTTGAGTAAAGCTGACATTCTCAAGACATATAAAAAGTCTATTTCTTCTTTTGGAACTACCAAAGAGGATAGGTCTTCTAAGGGTTATTTGCTTCCCTGAAATAAATTATCTTGCCCTTTTAAATTTGTTATTTAGATCAGATCTCAGAGTTAAATCCCAAACTAGGATATTATATCTAGTTCAAAATTTTTGCTTATTTCAGGCCTGGCTTTTTTTGTCTCTTAAAATAAACCTGTAGGCTACCCAGAAATAAACAGCACTGTTCACCTAGTGTTGATGTTTAGCAACAAAGCTTCCCTGTTTTTAGGTGGAACCATAAACCTTTCCAAGAGAAGGAAGAGAGTCAGAGGGACTGTGCAGCTGAGCCATCTGCATCCTGGAATCCCTTTCCCTCACCTGTAGTCAGTGCTTGGAAGTAGATTGCTCTTCCTGCTTCTCCCTCTTGAGAACGTGCAAGCAAAATAGTAGCTATTTTTGACTGTTTAAAAGTGAGTTGAGTTCTAGAGATAAGCATTTTATAAGTGGTTCTTGGCTTGAAAAAAATCTTAGAACTGTGGCATCAGTCAGTGGTGTAAATACAGGATTCTAGGGTGGTGTTTATATTATACTAGAGGCCCAGTGCACAGATTCGTGCACCAGTGGGGTCCCTTGGCCAGTCTGCAGGGATCAGGCCGAAACCGGTCTCTGGGTCCAGGGTGCGGGTGAAGCAGATTTGGGGCCGACAATGCCCCAGCAGCAACCTAACCCACGGCCGATTCCGCAAGGAATTGGGCTCCCTCCTTTACTGGTCGGAGCGTCTGCCCTCTGGTGGTCATTGCGTGTCATAGCTACTGGGTGAACAGTTGGTTGGATGGTCACTTAGGCATATATATATATAGACTAGAGGTCCAGTGCATGGATTCGTGCACCAGTGGAGTCCCTCGGCCTGGCCTGTGCCCTCTCACAATCCAGGACCCCTTGGGGGAAGTTGGATTGTTGGTTTCGCCCGATCCCTGCAGGCCAGGCCGCGGGACCTCCGTGCACTGGGCCTCTAGTATTCATATAAGATCTTTGGTAATTTCTTCCCACCCTCCACCCTCCCCTCTTCCCTCTGAGATTCATTAGTCTGTTCCATGTTTCCATGCCTGTGTTGAGCGTCTGCCCCCTGGTGGTCATTGCGCATCATAGCTACTGGTTGAACGGTCGCTTAGACTTTTATATATATAGATGTTGCCATCTTGTAGTTTGGAAAGCAAGATTAGAATATAATGTGACTGACTTATATGTGTGCTTTGTGAATTTTTGGTGCTTTACATATGTAGGTTGTTTTAGTAACGCTGGTACTAGTGTTTTTAATTGTTTATGATCTCTTGTAAGAACTATAAAAAATCACACTCAAGTTCACATCTGCTTCTTAGCCAAATGAAAGAAAAATACATGTGTTAATCTGAGGCGCTTCTTCATTTAAGAAAGGATAAGAATAGTAGCTAATCCACAGTGTCGTAAAGGCTCAAATGGGATAATACATGTAAAAATTATTCCTAAATTATAGTATTCTGTGTGTTATGGTCCTTACATGTTGAAAAGGGTGGAGAAGAAGGGTAATTTGTCTTATTTTAGGTCCAAAACTCTTGATTCAGTGAGCATAGGCATCAAAAATTCAATTATGTTCAGTTTGTTAGTGGGGCAAGAACACCTTTTTTTTTTAAATCCTCACCTGAGGATATTTTTCCATTGATTTTTTTCAGAGAGAGTGGAAGCAAGAGAAATATCGATGTGAGAGAAACACATCAATTGGTTGCCTCCTGCATGAGCCCTGACCAGGGCCCAGCCGGGGAGGAGCCTGCAACCAAGGTACTTACCCTTCGGTCTGCAGGCCGACACTCTATCCACTGAGCCAAACCGACCATCTTTTTTTCTTTTCCCCTTTGCATGTGTAATATATTGCTACCGTTAGCTACTTATCTTCAGGATAGTAAATTGCTTTAAACTCATCTCATTAGCATTGTGTGTTTTTAGTATCTAGAATTTTCTAGGTTCATTGCAGCGATGGTTCATTATCATAGATAAGAAAAAGTTGAGGCTGTGAAAGCTGCTTTAATAATAACTGTTGTATCTACCTTTTTTCTTCTATAGATTCTAAACTCTTTATATGTTTTTCTCTCTGCAGATTTAACCCAGAGACTGACTTCCCTCTAGAAGCACCCACAGCTGTATCCATGGTCGGGGACAGGTAGTGGCAGCAGGCACGGGAAGCGCAGCTCTGCTGTACTGGGGACAATGAGTGCGCTCAAACCAAGCGGGCTCAAGGTCCCCACCAAGATCCTCAAGCCTGGCAGCACAGCCTTGAAGACACCCACTGCTGGTAATGCCTTATGTTTTCCTCCAGAGCAAAGAAGTTATAGCCCCATATGAAGGCTTCAGTGTGAAGATTTTAAAAAGATAATCTTAGAAAACGTCACATTCTTGAAAAATATTTGAAAATGTTTTGATGAACAGAATAGCATCTTATGGCTAAAAGTCTGAATCAGTGAAGAGTTTCCCTTGTAGGTTATCTTTACTTGATTTAGTGTCAGGTGATAAAAGGGTGGTCAAATTAAGTTCCGTGGGTGTTTGATCCTTACAGATCGAAACTCTGCGGACTCCCTTAGCATAGTGTACAGAGATGTTCGGCATCTGCTCTAGGCTGGCCAGACCCCTCTTGTCCCCAATCTTGGCACAATTGACTTCTATTCATCAAGTCTTGGGCCAGATGTCACCTTCTCCAGGAGGCCTTCCCTGACTGCTCTGCCCAAAGGCGCGGTCTCCTCCACAGCACCTGAACTACCTGAAACAAGCGGCTGTGTCTCTTTATTTACTGCCTGCCTCCTCATCTCTAGACTGAGCCCTGTGAGGGCATGGATTGTGTTGTCTTGCTCTGTCCTTCAGCGAAGAACCGTGCCTAGGACTTGTCCCAGAGTGGCAGGAGCTCATGTGCAGCATGAATAAATACATTTTCTCATTTAATCCTCATTTAAAAAACCCTCAAGATAGATATTACTTCCCCCTTACCGATGAACAAATTGAGCTCAGAGGGGTTGTGTGACATCTTAAGATCACAATGTGCCTAGGAAATGGTAGAGTGATGAAGAATGTGGGCTTGCTTTGCCAGTTCACACCAAATATTGATTAAATGCTTGCTGGGTGAGTGTATGAATGCGTTTCCAGTGTAAATATCACATTTCTGGCAAAATGTAACTTCTGTCTTTACCGCAGAGTAGAGATTGCACAAGGTCATCTTGCCTTAATGGGGCCAGATGCTGTCTCTCTTGCCTTGCTGTGACCGCCATCTCCACCAGCAAAGGAATGGGTCTGTTTGGTTGTCTTGGAGGAATGATAGGGACACAGCACAAACCCCTTCTTCATCCAAGCGAATGCCAGTCTCTGGTTAAATGGTCCTAGCCTTGTCAGCTGTTGTTGACTACTCAAATGTGGGAATGAAGCCCATCTCAGTGGATCTGAGCGGGTATTTGTTCATGACGTTCAGGGTTGGGGGTGGAGGAAAGAATGAAATCAGACCTGCATTATGAACTTTGGAAAAGGACTACTTTAAAAAAAATTTTTTTTAATTGACTTCAGAGAGGAAGGAAGAGGGAGAGAGAGAGAGAGAGAGAGAAACATCATTGATGAGAGAACCATTGATGAGCTGCCTCTTGCACTCCCCCTACTGGGGATCGAGCCCGCAACCCAGGCATGCGCCCTGACTGGGAGTCAAACCATGACCTCCTTTTCATAGGTCGACGCTCAACTATTGCGCCACACGGGCTGGGCAAGGACTACATTTTTTTTTTTCTTGTTTTAACTTCATTCTATCTTAATTGCAGGTAAGGATTAAATCTCATCAGCTCACTGAGTTTCAACAGCATTGAACATGGTAGTGATGGGGCCAGTAGTTTTTGCCTCCTTGCTAAAAAAAAGAAGTGAAGGAAGAAAAACAGGGCACTTTGGCTTTCTCTCGTGTATTTCCCTTCAGGTCTGCTTGAGTGTGAAACCGAATCTCTTCTGATCACTTCTTGTGTTTTCAGTCGCAGCTCCAGCAGAAAAAGCAATATCCAGTGAAAAAGCATCAGGCGCCCCTTCCTCTGAGACACAAGAGGAATTTGTGGACGACTTCCGAGTTGGGGAGCGAGTTTGGGTGAATGGAAATAAGCCTGGATTTATACAGTTTCTGGGTGAAACTCAGTTCGCACCAGGCCAGTGGGCCGGGATTGTTCTAGATGAACCCATAGGTAAGAATGATGGCTCGGTGGCAGGAGTCCGGTATTTCCAGTGTGAACCTTTAAAGGGCATATTCACCCGACCTTCCAAGTTGACAAGGAAGGTGCAGGCTGAAGATGAAGCCAGTGGCCTGCAGACAACTCACCCTTCCAGAACGACCTCGCCTGTGTCCACTTCTGCAGCCAGCATGACAGCCTCCTCCCCAGCCACCCCCTCACATATTCCCCAGAAGTCGTCCCAGCCAATAGCCAAGGAACCTTCGGCTACACCTCCGATCAGCAACCTCACAAAAACTGCCAGTGAATCCATCTCCAACCTCTCAGAGGCTGGCTCGGTCAAGAAAGGAGAGCGAGAACTCAAAATTGGAGACAGAGTACTGGTGAGTCCAGAAACCTTCCAATGTCGTCGTGTTGAACTGAGATGTAATCACTGATGAGTGGTTAGAAATACAGGCTCAGAGTCTGTTCTGGAGGAATGACCACTCACTAACAGAGAAAGGATCATCTTTTTTAGTGGCTCAGTTTATGTGTAAACATGCTGCGAATTAGAACCTCACCACGTAGTTTGAAAAGGGTTGTGAGTATAAGTTTGCCGTGATAGATTCTAGTTTTATCTCCCAGTTTAGCCAAAAGAATGAGTTTATAACTTATAAATATTAAGATAATTTTACTTGACAAAACAGGCTCAGAAGTGGACTTAGATGTCTTTATAAGTTTTAAAAAACGTTTTTTTTCCTGCTTTAATGATGCACAAGAACCTCTATTTCCCCACCAACTAAAGTGAAAAAAAATTAATTCAAGTACTAGTCAAATAGAGTTCCTAAGAGAATATCTGCTATACATCATCTGCTCTTGTCACATTACTTTTTTAAGGGGGTTTACTTACCATCATATGTTATAGATGGGGAGGCTCAAAATGATGTCATCAAGAAGCCGCCTTACAAAATCTTTGTTGCTCACAAAATTCCTGTGAAACAAGCCCTATTACCACTCATTGGACTTTTTATAGCTTTATAAACCCAGGCCAGTGAGATTAAATGGCTTGTTTGGGACTTGATAATGAATAGATTGGAGAGTTCAAAAAGGATTCACTGTTTCCTATTTCCTGTTTGCAGACCCGCTCATTAGCCCTGCAGAATTGATCCCTGCTCTTACTTCTCACAGGAGTTTACGAGAAGGGGGTTTGCTTCCCGGTCAAGGCACATGCCCGGGTTGTGGGTTTGATCCCCAGTAGGGGGTGTGCAGGAGACAACTGGTCAGTGATTCTCTCATCATTGATATTTCTCTCTCTCCCTCTCCCTTCTTCTCTCTGAAATCAATAAAAACACACACACACATATATAAAAGGAATTTTAGGTTTGGTGGGGGGAAACGTATAAGAAAACTGCGCATTCTGGGAAGTAAACAAATGTAGTGGCATGGCATTTCCCCCCCTGAGGGTAAATGTATGTGGTATTACCTGCATCTAGAGAAGTATTGACAGTCTGTTTTGTGGTGATTTTTTAAAAAATCAACTGAGAACATTTTTACTTTTTTCCCCAGTTGCTCTTTTTTTAAAAAAAGTATTTTAATTGATTTCAGAGAGGAAGGGAGAGGGAGAGAGAGAGAGAGAGAGAGAGAAACATCAGTGATGAGAGAGAATCATTGATTGGCTGCCTCCTGCACACCCCACACTGGGGATCAAGCCCGCAACCGGGCATAAGCCTTGACCGGGAATCAACCGGTGACCTCTTGGTTCCTGGGTTGACGCTCAACCGATGAGCCACACCCGGCTGGGCTTGTGGTGATTTTCTATAAAGCTTCCGATCTGAATGAAGCCCATGGTTTGCTTGGAGATTTTACTGCCCACAGCCTGTTAGATGCCTCTTGGAAGAACAGTCATCATGACAGTGACTTAGACTCACCCGCAGAGAATTCAGCAGATTCGCTGAGGAGATTTCATCATCTTTAGCTAATGGGCTGAGCTCTGCTCGCATGATGTTGGTTCGACCTGCTCTGGATGCTGTGGTGTAGGAGTGGGGAGGAAACTGAGGCCAGTGTTAGAGAGGTGATTGCTTGTAGATTCCACGAATGCCGTAAGAGTGTTAGAAGGTCAGATGTGCCAAATCTAGTACTGAGGTCTCGTTGGCATGAGCAAGCTAGCTGCTAACATATAGTAGGCTCCACCCTATCTGTTAAAGCAGTTTTTTAAATATATGTTTTTATTGATTTTTTTTTTTTTTTAGAGAGGAAGAGAGAGGGATAGAGAGATAGAAACGTCGATGAGAGAGAAACATCCATCAGGTGTCTCCTGCACACCCGCTACTGGGGATCAGGCCTGCATCCTGGGCATGTCACCTGATGGGGAATTAAACTGTGACATCTTGGTTGTTCATATGTCAATGCTCAACCACTGAGCCACACTAGCCGGGCAAAATGTTTTTAAACTTTTATAAAAACAAAGGATTAAACAGAGTTGGGGGGGGGGAATATGTGTCATCCCAAACTCATAAAAAGTTATATTCAGAGAAAAAAGTAGAAATAAATGCCTTTAGTATTAAAAAGCAAGACAAAAACAGACAGTATATACATCTTAAGAAATTAGGAAGGAGCCCTGTCCTTTGTTGCTCAGTGGTTAGAGCGTTGGCCCATGCACCAAAGGGTCAAGGATTCGATTCCTGGTCAAGGGCACATGCCTGGGGTGTGTGTGGGAGGCAACCAATTGATGTGTCTCTCTCACATCCATGTTTCTCTCTCTCCCCTCTCTACTTCCCTTTCACTTTGTCTCTCTCACATCCATGTTTCTCTCTCTCTCTCCCCTCTCTACTTCCCTTTCACTCTCTTTAAAAATCAATGGAAAAATATCCCTGGGTGAGAATTAACAAAAAAAGAAGAAGAAATTAGGAAGGAAAGAACAATAAACCAAAAGGAAGTGGAGAAGGGAAGGAAGCCTGCTGATAGAAGTGAGGGTGCGTAGTGCACCATCTTGGTGGGAACTGTAGAAGATGAAGTGTTGGTACGACGCTCATCTCCTCACTTTAACGCTCTCTTCTTGCAGGTCGGTGGCACTAAGGCTGGTGTGGTCCGGTTTCTCGGGGAGACGGACTTTGCCAAGGGGGAGTGGTGTGGTGTGGAGTTAGATGAGCCTCTTGGGAAGAATGACGGGGCTGTTGCTGGCACAAGGTTTGTTTGGAATTGGGCACCATCTTGTCTCACCCTTGCACGAAAAGGTGCCCGAGCAGGTCTCACCCGTTGTGTCTTATAACATGGAAATGAGTGTCTTGAAGAGCTGCCAGCGTTAGACACTTGTTCGATTTCCTTCTCCCTTTGTCTGGCAAGGTTTTATTAAGTGGATCACTGTATTGCTGAACTCCTCTGCTGTATGTTTATCCGGTGGTAGAAACATTCATTCCCTTTGTTACCTTAGTGCCCGATGAGCAACTCATGCTCTGTGCATGACGTTATTATTTATGGTGTGTTTTCCAAAACATTGCTGAGGTTATTTAGCAGCCTTCATCCGTGTGAACCCTGCCTGCTGTGCGTCACCCCACCTTCCCCCAGCTGAGCGGTAGAATTGACAGCAAACCAGTCACGACTTAGGAGTTAGAAGCGCTTCCTCGTTACAGTTTCTCCTAACGAAGTTTTTTTTGTCACTTTCCTTATTATTGTTCTCTCAAGGTATTTTCAGTGTCAACCCAAATATGGCCTGTTTGCTCCCGTCCACAAAGTGACCAAGATCGGCTTCCCTTCCACTACGCCAGCCAAAGCCAAGGCCGCCGCGGTGAGGCGAGTGATGGCCACCACGCCCGCCAGCCTGAAGCGCAGCCCGTCCGCATCCTCTCTCAGCTCCCTGAGCTCGGTGGCCTCCTCCGTGAGCAGCAAGCCCAGTCGCACAGGATTAGTAAGCCTCTCTCTCCTCACTGCATGTCTCTGCCTCCCGGCACGGCCAACGCTGGCAGCCAATGCACCTGCTCTGCTTCTAGAAATACTAAGTCGCCCCTCACCCTTGTGCTAAACGTTAGCTGTAGCTTGTGAATGTCCTTGCCAGGGTCACAGAATTAAACTCTAGCAAGAGTACACGTTTTAAAATAGTTTTTAACAACCCCTTTCCGATTCCTAAGGCTTCACGATGTAGCAGTTCTGGGTGAATCTAGCCACTACCGACGAGATGACTGCTTTTCTCAGAAATGACTTTGGGCACAAGAAAGACTGGAAAATTGGGGGTGGTGGTGTTCCTTTTCCTTAAGGACTTAGGTCTCTTATTTCAAACAGTTTTAGGAACTAAAGTATTTTGAGCAAAGCCATGTTCTTGCAATTTTGACATGAATACAGTCTAACCCTCTGAAAGCAGATAATGTGTGGAGTGTTCCCGACCTGGGCCAGAGGACACAGAGGGGAACTTCTAGAACTTGAAAGGATGCTCGGAAGAGCTATGTTTTGTTTTGTCTTCTCTCTCTATGTCCTCCTCCCACCCCCTCCTCTCCCCCCTCCCCCCATTTAGATCACTAAACATAGAGTCATCAGAATTAAAATAAAATAGCAGCGTCTCATTCTGGTTGATAATGCGCACTTCATCAGGGTCAAAGCAGTGCCTTTTTGGCGTCGGCCCGTGCCATTACGCTTATCTGCTTGAAGAGAGGCAAGTACTGTTGAATTTTGAAATGGCAGTGTTGTCCTCCAGGCTGAGGTCGGGATCTCTGCATGATGATGGTGAACTACGGACAGGAGTTAGGATGCTAAGTGGTGTGATCTCGGTTTGCCTTCTTTCGGGTGATGTCGGGCAGGGAAAGGCAAGGCAGAGGGATCTGCCCTAGAAGTGGGGGTTGTGCTGCTCGGGCCGCCAGCCCAGGTGCTCTTCTTCCTCATCAGTTCAGTAAAAACGCGCTTGGACTATTTCATTTTGCATTTGAAGAGAAAGTCTGCACCTTCCACAGAGCAGTTACAAATGGACTTTATAGAAAAGGTTGACAGACGCAACGAAGTAGAGGTGAAAAACCTCAGTTTCGACAACGCCTTGTTCCAGGGGTCCGCAAACTCCAACGTGGACGTCTCATCTGCTTTGTCAATCCCGGACATTCCGCAGAGGTGTCAGGTCTGGGTTAGGAATTCTTTCTTGAATCATTTCTATTATGTTGTAATCATGAGTCCATTTCCTTGGAAAATAGCCAAGCTCTCCTCGCTGCCCCCAGCCTCCCCTCTTACTCTCAGACCAATTCTGACAACTCATTTAGGGAAGGACGCCAACAAAAGAGAAAGGAGTCTTCTCGCCTTGCAAAACAGCTTATTTAAAAAATATTTTTATATAGGGTAGCTGTGGTTTCTAAGTTAAAAAGCACGATAAAAGAATATGCCAAGAATATAGAAAATTTGAAATGTGCCTTCCTAGAAATGTATCTCGGCAACAGAATCCTACTCATATATATAAAAAAGTCTAAAGACTTTCCTGCAGAATGATCTGGAAGTGTTGGACACAGAGATTCCCAGGCCTCCTAGGTTCACAGCCCCTTTAGTGTCTGGGTTATTTTTTCATGGAGGCCCTAGGTCAGGAGAAGTAGCTGACAGTTCTGTTTATTAAGTAATTAGGTTTAAATAACTTAATATTTATGTCTCAGGAGTTGGTAGCTGTTTAAAAAAATGACGCCTATTAATGAAAAGGACAACTATTTTAAATTCATTCTTGAGTAACCATCACACATCACTACCAGGTCGTATGCTGCTGTTGGGCACCTGTCAAATCTTGGAATCTCCCTGAGCACCACCGCCCTCATTTTCGGTGCCGCACTGATTTTTGTTGGCATAGTCCTTGCTTTTGGTCATGGCAGTAGCCCAAACCCAGCTTCGGAAAGACATGACGTCACCTAAAGGAATATGTATGACCACCTGAGGCGTGAAGAAAGAAAATGGAGTCACTGTGGTCAAGCGGCTAAATTACTGAAACCGCGTTGGCTGAGGCACGAGGAAGCAATTCATTAATTAGCCGAGGAACCTAAACTTCTTAGGAAAGAATGTTCACGCGTCCAGACCACCTGATGTCCATTAGTCAGACCACGGGACGTCCGGAAGATGACCATCTCGGACCCATCCAGAGGCTAAGGATGCAGGACGGATCCTTCTCAGGAATGTGCACTATGAGAACTCTTAGATTTTATTTCTTCTTCAGAGGGACACCCTGGGTATTTTCTACCCGTGTTTCCAGTTTGTAAACCCTAAACCCTTGAATAAATCTTTAGTGTTTAGTATTTCTAGCCACAGTCTGCTGAAACGGAATTGCCTCAAGCTGTAGTTTGCATGGTGTCCAACAGGTGTCGCTGTTTCCCTTGAAATTCACTGCCGTTTGCTGCAGTCCCCTGGGGCATCTCTGCACGAACCTCAGATTGAGTGTCTTCAGGAAGAAATGTTGGAATGGGAGCGTATAATCCAACCACACATGTACTGAAACTGGAAAGTCAAGGTCAAGTGTAAAAGAGAACAGGAATTCCTCCTTCCCCAGTATGTGTAATTCAAGCAATTTCACTAACTAGAAGCCACTAAGTACTACTCGGGTTTGATTGGATCCTTGCCTCTCCTAGTCATCAAATTGCCTCACTTGGAGGGGATGGCAGATCCCCGTCCTCAGACTGAGGAAGAAAAGAGCATTCAAGCCACAGGTGAGGCCCCCAACTGCAGAAGGTGAAGTCAGGGCTGCGGTGACCTGCAACCTAGTGGTCGCTGAGGGAACAGCCCTGCACAAGCCGTGAGGCCCTTTCTCGACCACCAGCCTCTAAAGCTGGGCTTGGAAGAATAGTAGTCGACTTGCCCAATTATCTGTTAACATGCAGTAGGAGGTTCTTTGCTCTGTGCTTTTATGTGATGTTAGCCTCAAGATGGAGGATTTGGGCATGTGAAACAGGTGACCGAGCTGAGACCCTCCTAATCCACTCCTTTCCTAGTCACTCTCCCCCACTTCTCATTGTCCTCCCCTTCCCTCTCCGTGCCCCCTTTTTTCTCACCCTCCTCCCCTCCCCTACTTCTCTTTGTCCATAAATCTCTTTCTCCTCCTTTTTGTCTCGTGTTTTTTTCTTTCTTCCTCTTATGTGTGTCCTTGCCCAGACATACGCACACACACTCACCCACTCCCACGCACCTGAAGGCAGGTCAGTGGTCCTCTTCATCTTGTCCTTATAAATCTCTGTGGGGATGGGCATTCAGCTCCTCAAGGCTACATTGCTGGCGAGATCGCCTCTGCCTTTCACTCTGAAACAAAGATGAAGAAAGTCCTGGCAACGGTCCAACGATTTAATCAATTGAAGGAAGGTTTGTGATGCAGAGGGGGATCTATCGGTCTCAACTTCGAGTCTAAAGATCAAAAGATTGCCCAAAATGTCGTAACAAGAAGACAGCTATAAGTGAAGCTTAGGTCGGAGTGGAGTGGAGAGAAACGTGTTAAATGGGTTCTGTGGAATTTTTCTAGATTCCTGTAAGGCCCTGTCAGCTGAGCTCAGGGTACCTTTGACTTGAGCCACTCATTCTTCTAGACATCTTCCTGATTGGTCCACGGCCTCTTTGCATTGTTCTTTGTGGAATTTACAGACAGGAGGCGCATGCTGTCTTGTTTTCTTGATGAAGAGCCTTTCCGAGTCATTGGCAAGCCTGAGAGCCGGGGCAGCACTTTCGCTTTGCTGAGGAGGCACCCACCCTGCATGCATCACTCCCTGCCCACGTCCCTCGTAGGTCATCACCCTTCACTTCTTTCACTTTCCTTTGCAGTTGACCGAAACCTCCTCCCGGTACGCCAGGAAGATCTCCGGCACCACCGCCCTCCAGGAGGCCCTGAAAGAGAAGCAGCAGCACATTGAGCAGCTGCTGGCCGAACGGGATCTAGAGAGGGCGGAGGTGGCCAAGGCCACGAGCCACGTGGGGGAAATAGAGCAGGAGCTAGCCCTGGCCCGGGACGGACACGACCAGGTGAAGTCTGGCGCTGGCCTTGTGGTGATGGTGACAGGTTCTAAGCTGATCGCATTGCAGAGATGGTGGCAGGTTCTAAGTTGAGGGAGGAGGCCGAACTACCTCCTGGTGCCGGGAGCTAGTCCTGGGAGCACTAGAAATGTCTTTGCTGGGCTTGTTTGAAAGCTGTGACCTGGAGTCCCAGTTTGCATCGTCATAAAGGCGGAGTTTTGTTCTTCTTGAGTGCACCTTAGCCTCTTGGTCTTTACGTCCAGGTCTTTTGGCCTGTCAGTGCTAGGTGAGCTGGCTTAATTGGACGTCACCTGTGATCGCAACTTCTGTTTTGTAGACGATCCTCTGCATGAGTTTTAGCTTCCATAGATGGGCGTTGTTGTAACATTGCCCTCTGCTGCCATCATGGTGTGGTTTCCATCCTCGTCCTCCGGGAATGCGGCTGACAATAACCTATTAAAAATCATAGAATGCATTCTAACGTGGAAAGGTTTTGGAGGAACGCCAGCCCACAATGGTGCCACTTAGCCGTAGCTCTTTGGAGGCGTCCCTGGGCCTGTCTGGGTCAGAGAGAGGCCGCTCACTGACACCCTTGCCTCCCCAGCATGTCCTGGAACTGGAGGCCAAGATGGACCAGCTGCGAGCCATGGTGGAAGCTGCCGACAGGGAGAAAGTGGAACTGCTCAACCAACTAGAAGAGGAGAAAAGGTGATCCTAAACTGTCCCCTGGGGCACGTGTGGCCTTTTCCTTTTAAACTTCCTTCCCATTAGCAACCATGTTGGCATCAACCCTTAGAACCAAAGGAATGGCCGTGTTCAGCGGGAATAGAAGTCTTCCTTCTGTGAGAGGAGGGTTTGCATTGATTTGACTTCCTGTGAGTCGTTTGTAATCATCCAGACATGGCCTGATTAACTGAACAATCATTTGTGGAGCACCTACCGTGTGCCACGCAGCCTTAGTTGTGTGGTGGCGTTCATGCAGACCCAGCCCCGTGGGGGGGTGCTGGGCCCAGCTCCCTAGGATTTACCCAGGTGGCTGATGAAGTCGTATTATGTCTGATGGGTGATACACAGTCCCTGTCCTCAAGAAACTCAATACCTTATTAGGAAAGCAAGGCTCTCACGTGAGGCAATTAGGGAATTTTCCAGGTCAGGACGAAATCAGGTGCTAAACTGAGAGAGAAAGCAAGTTTGGGCATGATAGAAGGGTTTTGAGGCTGTTAACAAACAATCTCTCCACAAAAAGCATCTTCATGGAAACCATGCGAACATCTCTGGTTATGGGATGTTAGTCCTCAACTGTTGCACTTAATGCCGTTTCTGACAGCGACTTGGCTCACTAGCAGTCAGGATGGTCATAGACTCTGTGTGGTGAGGGGACAACCCAGTGGAGGTGGGATGCGGTCTCTGACCAGGGAAACCACTTTCTCATTGGATTGAGGAACACTGTACATAGGACAGTGATGGCGAACCTTTTGAGCTCGGCGTGTCAGCATTTTGAAAAGCCCTAACTTAACTCTGGTGCCATGTCACATATAGAAATTTTTTGATATTTGCAACCATAGTAAAACAAAGATTTATATTTTTGACATTTATTTTATATATTTAAATGCCATTTAACAAAGAAAAATCAACCAAAAAAATGTCATAGGTTCGCCATCACTGACATAGGACATTCTCCCCGCCTCCTGAATACGGGTGCAGGTAAAGGAGCCACAGTGACAGGTCCCTCCGGACTGTTTGCTCTGTTGTGAAACCTGCCCTGGCTCTGCTGACTGCGGGGCAGGAGAACTGTCCTCCCAGCTCTACAGTAGCTTGAGGGCATCAGACCTCTTCCCATGAGGCAGACCTCGTCTCGATCAGATCCATTCTGGTGCTTCTGACCAAGGGAACCGGTTGATTTTTCTCAGCTCTTACCTCCTGCCTTCTGGAACGCGTACCTGGATAAAACTCTGGAGCTTCCCGAGGAAGAGTAGAGCTCTCAGGTGCATACACCCGAGGCCTAAAGATGCATTTATTTCCTATGCCTCTGAGGCATTTCTTTCCATGGTCATGTGCTTTTTGCCAGGGTATTGCTTGTAGAAACACATGGGCACACTCGTTCCCGTTTTCTTAAGTGCTTTGTTTCCCTCTCGTTCCACAGGAAGGTGGAGGATCTTCAGTTCCGGGTGGAGGAAGAATCAATTACTAAAGGCGACCTTGAGGTAAAACCCCTCCAGCTGTCTGAAGCGTTTATGGGTCCCCATGTTCAGAAATGTGGACGAAATCATTGTGCCAGCTGATGTGGCCAGAACGGGCAGCGGAGGGATGGCAGGGCCCAGCCTCTGGCCAGCGGGGCTGTGGGCATGGCTGCCGGAGGTGATGGGGCGGCCTCTGCGCCTGCGACAGAGCCATCCCACCTCCTGTGGCCCAGTAAAGTTTTCACTACTCTTTCTTTCTGCTTTGAAATTCAAAAACCTCAAATTGGAGTTAATCGAGTCATAAGTCTGGCAGTGTGTCCCAAGTGAGACTCTCCGTGTCTCTCTGATGACCAGAAACTGCACTCCTTGGGAGGAGCATTTTTTGCTTCATCCTAATAGTCCAAAACAGAGCCTTGCTTCTTCCACTGAGCAGGACAAACCTTTTATAACCCCGTGAAAGGGATAAATATATGTTCTAGTAGTTGAGCTTTTTACAAAAGTAATTACCAGAAAGAAACAAGAGCAATTTATATTTTAGCTTCTTTTACTTTCATGGCATATTTTAAATTAATAGGGATTTTTCTTTACAATCAAGTTTCTCATCTTGTAACAATTATTCATATTAGTTTTTTCAAATAGACAACAGAGTTCAATGGTCTTGATGCTTTTCAAACCACTGCTAGATATATGACAAGTATAAATTATTAAAATTTTCAAATTCTGCAGATTTTTGGTACTTTAATCTGTAATATTTTTGTAAAAACTGCACATTTCTGTGCAGCTCTCAAAATATACATTTATGCTGCCATTACAATTTTAGAGTCTTTTGATTGCCCACACCATGCTTACATTTCAAGGGACTTCCAAATAGGAACTCTGATTTCTTTGGAAATAAGTGTATCCTTACAGTTAACAAAAAGTAAGGAAAACATTTTCTGAGTTTTAGTTTTATAAAGCCCAAGATTTAATGGATTATTAGTAATAATAAGTCTTCATTCATTTCATATATTGTACAATTACATTTCTTTAGTTTACTTTTGTGTTATCCTCATCCACTTACAAACACCCTAAAAGTTTCATTAGAAGTTTCATATCATCATCCAATTCATTTGAAATATAGCCTATGGTGTTTGGGAGAAGGACAAATGAAAATATTTACATCAGCACTAGGCTAGTATATAGTCTGTCTGATAAACTTACTTGAAATTAATCAAAGTTATTTTGAAACCCTAACATTGAAACTTTAGTCGAATCTCTCTTTTGTTGTTGTTTAATTTTTTATTTTTTTACTGATAGCAAAAGAGCCAGATTTCTGAAGATCCTGAGAATGTAAGAGGGCACTTAACTGTGTGGATATTTTCCTTGTTAACACAGATTGATTACAGATTAAAATGCTTATTGATATACTCAAATACTAACTCCATAATCTGACCTTGAGACGTTGACCTTAATATTTCTGTGCATGTGGCTTTCAAAGCAGTTACATTTGTATCCTGAAGAAATTGTATGTTATGACTAAGTTCTATAAATCCATTTGTTTAATACATAGGCATGTGTTTACTTCATAAGAAATTTTGTCAGAAACGGGCAAAATTAATTTTGTCTGGGGGCCTGGCCTTAATTCATAATGTTTTCTAATTTTAATAGAATTATTCCAAAAGAGATGAAGCATAAAATATATTAGATGGAGTTATAGAAATTCTGGGGGAAGTTTTCCCAAATTGTCTAATTTTATTCCCAGGAGAGTTAAAAGGGAATTGCGAATCCCAGACTGATTGCCTTGGGTGTGAGCACCCCTTGCTGGCCAGTGCCTGTCCTTGCAGCTGACTAGAAATACAAACTTGGAATTCGTCACTGTGGTAGTTTCCCTAGTTTTTGAACCTAGAGGCTAGAATTCTTTAGTGAAGAGACTGAGTGTTTTAAATTTATTATTTTCGAAGTGAGGTTTTTAGGGTAGCAGTGCTACCAGGCAGGTAGGTGTTTTCCTCCCTCCTTCTGCTTAAGATTAAACACCCAATTCAAATCTTACCAAAGTGACCTCGAAAGCCAGGCTTCAGCTCTGATGCCAACTGAAAGAAACCCAAAAACTTCTCACTGTGATTTACCACCACAAGAGAACAAAATTAAGGCAAACACTGTTTCTCCCCACCGCCTCCTGGCAGGTAGAATATACAACTCAAGACTGAACTTTTACAACAGCCTCCGTTCTGAAGGTTCCCTTTCTGTGCAGCTACTTCAGTGATCTGGGTCTCCTCTCTCCTTCCCACACGGGCTCCCGCTGCGTCCAGTGTCAGTCTGCATGGGGTCTCCCTCCCGCCTCTCTGTGCGCTTCTTGCAGAGCCTCTGCTTGCCCTCTCCGCCTGTCCCAGGACTGCCCTCTGGGACACGTGTCTTCTTCTGAGAAAGGAGTCAGTTAATAAGGAGGGTTGTCCTGTTGGGTGTAACGTTTTGACTGCATTCCATGGCGTGGAAGTGGATCACTAGTCCCCGTGCTGATGACTGGTCAGAGACCGTGGTGCAGTCCCAGGTCATTGGTGTGCACCCCGCCAGCAGGGAGGTCTCGCTGCAGTCACCCGGAAGGGGGTGAGGAGCACGCTCAGTGGTCATGGGCTTTTTATCTTGAAGTGGTGACCTTTCACCCCCAGGACACTGAACTCGGTGTCCAGAGGAGAAAAAAGGTTTTGTTGCCTTTTGCTATTAGGGTTTCAGTGCTTGAGGCTGCGACCACAGTTACGTAGTCCTGGATCAGATTCTTTTCTTGTAGAAGCAGTAAACAGAACAACTTCTGTCTGAGGCACGTCTGGACGAAGGGGACTATCCAGATAACTAGGTTTCCAGTGTTATTTTTGTTGAGTGTAAGAGCTGAAGGGGTTGAGATGGCTTTGTTTTGTTTTTAATTTTGTGTTCACTGTTTAAGCGTTCCATGGTGATTTATACCTGGATTGCAAGCAAAGGGAGCTCTTAAATGCACTGGCCTCCCCAGAGTTCCACTGGCGGTAGTAAAGACGTTTACAGTGTACAGCATCCTACCCTCTAGTAAGCTCTGCACTACTGTTTGCTTCTTTATTTAGAGTTTGTTGTCGTTTTCTCATTTCCCGTAATGGTTCAGACCGATAGATCTGACCGGTTGGAACCACAAAATAGTTAAGTTACTGCAGTAACTAGAAGCTTCTGGGAACAGCGCTCTCAGTGGGTTTTATCCGTTGGTTACACTGCACCTGGCGGGGAGAGAGGTGAGCGGGAAAGAGGTGCATTCAGACGGACATCAGGATTATTTGATGAAGGTTGTGTTGTACTTAAACCTGCTAGAAAGAGGTCACCTCCGGCTTCTCCATCGGGCTCCGTATGAGTGAGGGAGGATGGAGAAGCTCAGGGGTTTTGGAACACAATAGGGTCTCACCAGCTCTTCTTGGTGGAGTTCAAACTCACGCGTTCGTGGTGTCACCATTTCTTCCCTCTGAGGTAAGAACTACCTAGGGGTCAAGATAGAGAGTCCAGTTTTGGCCAAACTTTTCTGCTGCTCTGAGCCCCAGGGATGAAGGCTGTGGAGTATAACTGTTACTGGAATTTTCTTTCTGTAAATCTGATTTCCTTTTTTCTTTTTTCTTCTGGTGACAGCCTTTAGAAAAGCCACCGCTGGAAACAAATTAGAGCGTTAGTGGCTCTTTCCTGTCAGATGTGAGAATGTTGCCGAGAGTCTCATCAGAGGCCACTGGTGTGATTTCCTTAGCTCTCTTTCTAGAGTCCCCCTGTGAGGTGTCATGCTTGACCCTTGTTCATATCAAATCTGTGCCAAAGTGCAAGGTGCTGCTCTAGGGATTTACTGACCATTCATAAGGTTTGCTACATTACCTTCTCCGTATTTAGTCATAGTGGTCATTGTGAGGGTCAATCTACTTTTTAAAGTCACCAAGACAGTTACATATTCGTTAATGTCAAATAGCTGTTGTGGGGAGGAGGGAAGAATGGTAGTTTAGAGGAATATTAACTGTTCTAATTTGTGCTGATAAACTTCACTTATCAATATAACTTGTATTTGGCTGCATGCATCTGACATTTTTCATCCTGCCTCACGTGTTTTCCATTTTTCCTTTCTCAATAGCCTAGCTCATGTCCCCCGCCCACCTCATCCTCCTGTTGGTAGTTTACATCCTCACCCCCAACCTCCTCATCTCACTTCCATCCTCTTCCCGTCTCCATCTCCCGTCTTGTTCGTCCTCTGGCGGAAGGTGCTGGTGGCTCAGCCTGCATGCCGCTGTCCCCTCCTGTGCTGGCATGTCACGGTGGCACTGTTTGTTCTCTTCCTCTTCCTTTTTACTAACAGACGCAGACCAAACTGGAGCATGCCCGCATTAAGGAGCTTGAACAGAGCCTGCTCTTTGAAAAGACCAAAGCTGACAAACTCCAGAGGGAGTTAGAAGACACTAGGGTAATGGTTTTCACTGTTTAATGAAGCGGACCCGTGTATGTGAATGCTGGACACCTCGGGCGACACGCCTTGCGATGGCCTAAGCCTTGACCCAGTGGTTCAACCTGAGTTTGGTCTTGATACTGTTCGTGAGCTTAGACGGATGGGTAGGCACAGGAGTCTTATGTCAAATCTTTGGTCAAAGGTAAAAAGACTCATTCCTGTGCCTCACTCAGCCAAAACCAAGACCAGAAACTCTACAACTGTATACATTTGTATACATGGCTGCATTTGTGGTCCTTTGTATTCCTACCTCAAAATTTATTTCTCCGGTTCGCCATAAGCAGTCAATTGTCCTCTCATCCCCCTATTCCTAGTCACTGGGTTTTCTAGATACTTTTTTGTTACTGTTTTGTTTTTTTGTTTTTTTACTTTAGCTCTCTTTTCCTGCCTCCGTCCCTGGCCTCTTGGGGGAAGGGAATGGAAACATTGACTCTTTTAAGTGAGAGTTAAGGACTTTTACCCCAGTTACCTTCTGTTTTTTTCTTGATATCTGCTTTCTCTTTGCATTTCCCTCCTTTCTGTCACCTCGGTGGTTAAAATGCCAGCTGTAGGAGGAAAGGTGTGTTGGGAAGCAGAATGGCTTCTTACCACGCTGAGCCCCCTTGGAGCCATTGCGTTGGTCATGTTTTTGCTTATATGCTTGTTAAACGCACCTACACGGTGCTTACTTCATGCCAGGCACTATGCTGAGTACTTTACAAGTATTAACTTAGTCTCACCACAACCCCAGGTAATATTGTTCCCATTTTACAGATGAGGACACTGAGGCACAAAGAGATTAAGTAATTTGCCTAAGGTCATACAGGTAATAGTAAGGTGGGGCCAAGATTTGTATCTAGGCCATTTGGCCCCAGACTCTGTACCCTTAACCACAGAGTCTGACTATTATGGGAATAGTTTTGTGATGAAACGTTTAAAAAATGATATGAGTTATTTATATGGAAGAAAATATGTGTGTGTGTGTGTATCAATGAATTTGACTGTCAATGGCTAAATTGCCCAGATCTTAATTTTAAAATTTTAAAAATTACTCTATCTCTGATCAACTATTGGTTATAAAACCTGATTTTTTTTCTTTTGAATCATTAGTATTTTTAGAAATGTCCCTGTTGACAAATCATCGACTGATCTAAAAATCTACATAATTGAGTGATTTTTCTTCTCTAAGTCATGTTTTTACTTTTTTAAGAAGAAAGAAAATGTTCTCAGTCAGTCTCAACACTAAAGCTATCTCCTGTGTATGGGGTGAGAGAAATACCCTGGTAGTTTGGTGGTCTCTCCATTGCTCAAGAGCCAAAGACTTGGCCTGGGAAGTAGAAGGGACTGATGATAAGGCTGAGCTCCATGGTGGAAGGAAGGATAGTTTTTTACTTTCAAACTCCTCTCCCAAACTGCTTTGTCAGCAAACACCTTTGATGCTTTTTTGTGTGGCTGTGGATAAGAAGACATCCATTCACCGCATGGCTTATTCACACATTTCTGATTCAAGCTGTCATTTTTCTTTTTTTCTAAATTAAAATTTTTTTTAATGAGAGAGAGAGAGAGAGAAAGGAAGGAAGAAGAGCAAGAAACATCAATTTGTTGTTCCACTTATTGATGCATTCGTTGGTTGATCTTTTTATGTGCCCTGACCCAGGGATCGAACCCGAAACCTTGGTGTATCGGGACGTTGCTCTAACCAACTGAGCTACTTGGTCAGGGCTCAAGCTGTCATTTTTCTGTAACAAGTCGTGTCTTCTGTTGATCCTCACTTTTGGTCTGTCAAACGTGAAATCAGCCAGTGCCCCATATATGTTGCATATCACCTGTACTCCTTTTAGGAAGCGCTTTAGGATTCCTACAAGCCAATAAGCCCAGCTCATAAACGCTGTGCTCGGGGCTATAGAGATCTTAGCAAGAATAAGAAATGACACCTGGCTTTTCTGGCCTCAAATTAACAGGAGAGGCAAACCCATAGGCAGTTTTGCCTGAGGGCAGACTTTGGGAAATTAAAAAAAAAAAAAAAAAGAAATAGACGTACTGTGAAAATGCTACATGAAGTACAGTCACACTATTTATTATTTTCACTTATTTTCTTCACGTGGCATTTCCTCAGTTTGACTGTTTTGTTCTGCCGAATTAAGAACTATTGCCCTATTGGGTTTATTTGTCATAGACCTGGTAGCAGTGGGGCCTGTCAATATTCTGTACCTGACTTTGTGGTAACAAACTCTGGAACTACCCTGCTGCACACCCCAGAAAAAACGTTGATGAATTAACATCTCGAATCTGAATCGGCTGTGGCCCCGAAACACAACAGGTATAGGGAGCTCTGAGGTATTTAGTGACTCAATCGTGCAATTTTGGAGGCCCAAGTACGTTCTTTTCCTGTCTTCCCGTGGACATTTTAGTCTTTATTGATACCACAGCCTGTACGTGGACAGAGGAGATGGAATCAGCGCAGCCATTCCTTCCGGTCCCAGCACAGGCAGTGAGGGGGAGGAGTTTGACCCAGGAGGTCTGGGACTCACTGGTGTGTTTAGTCATTCACGCTCCCTTCTATTTCCCAGGTTAGCTTTTTATTCGCGAGGCTACTAATTCCCACATATTTTGTAGACTAATCTGACTGCCTAACAGGTGGCAGAGGGAAATACTTTCCTAAGAAAGAAAGGCCACAGGTTACGTGTTTTTCTTAGTCCTGGGGTGTGTATTTAAAAGAAGCAGGTTCCTGGGTCCCTCCAGAGATGAAATAGGATCAAAATATATGGGAGTGACTGGGCACCTGCACTGTAGACATGTGTCCAGGTGGCTCACGTGCACTGGAGTCCGAGAACCACTGGGTTAAGGGAACGAGGTGTGCGCCTCAGAATGCGACAGAATTAAACAGTCCCAAGAGGGGGTGCTATGTAGGATTCTTTTTTTTTTTTTTTAAATATAGTTTATTGATTTTTTACAGAGAGGAAGGGAGAGGGATAGAGAGTTAGAAACATCGATGAGAGAGAAACATCGATCAGCTGCCTCCTGCACATCTCCTACTGGGGATGTGCCCGCAACCAAGGTACATGCCCTTGGCCGGAATTGAACCTGGGACCTTTCAGTCCGCAGGCTGATGCTCTATCTACTGAGCCAAACCGGTTAGGGCAGGATTCTTTTATATAATTGCAGGTAAGTCATCATTCTTTCTTTGTCATTTTTTAAAAAAGAAGGTTAGTAAGTTAATTCATCATCCAGTTGAGGCTTTTATTCTACAGTTGATGTGCTATTCGTTGAAACATTGGATAGGTAATTTTACACCTCTGATACCCATACTATTCAATAGGAGTATAATACGAGCTATTTTTTTAACATTAACATACTTTTCAAAAAAGATAACAAGTGAACTTAATAATATATTTTATTTAAATGAATATATCCAAAATATCATTTAATCATGCAGTCAATATAAAATCATTAACAAGATATTTTATGTTCTTTTTTCTCCAAGTCTTCAAAATCTGATGCATATTTTATGTTGGCAGCCATGTCAGCTCAGATGAGCCCATTTCAAGTGCCCTATAGCCATAGGTGGCTCGTGGCTACTAAACTGAACAGCACATTCCTTTAAAATCATCTCCATCAGATCAATAAGCATTTATACATCCTGAGTGAAGTGGAGAGAAAAAGCAGGCAAAATAAGGAGGATTCTTTCTACCAGCCTGCAGAAATATTTGAGAACTTTGAAAGTTACTGTTTCTGTTAACTTCTTACCAATTTCATGCTGGTAATCGTGTACTTCCTCGCTTTAAGCTTCTTTGGAGGAAAAGGAAGTATTTTTGGAGTTAAACTCAATATCAATTTTAGATTCCTTTAGCATGTCAAGATGGTGGAAGTTTGACAAAGATTATAGTTTTGAATTGGAGCTACCAGAACTGGGCTTAAGCCACGATCATAGCTAGAGACAGACTCTCATGTAGGCATTGTGGGGGTAGTTTGCTGCCTTGAGATGGGAATAGGTTTACTTAAGATCTTCCAAGTTAAAGAAAATCGTCAGTGATTTGTTATTTAAATGATCTCTTTTTTTTTTTGGACTGCTGTTAATAGGTGGCTACAGTATCAGAAAAGTCTCGTATAATGGAGCTAGAGAAAGACCTAGCGTTGAGAGTGCAGGAAGTAGCCGAGCTGCGAAGAAGGCTCGAGTCCAATAAACCTGCCGGGGATGTTGACACGTCGCTCTCCCTTTTGCAAGAGATCAGCTCTTTGCAAGAGAAGTTAGAAGCCGCCCGTACTGACCACCAAAGAGAAATCGCTTCCCTGAAGGAGCACTTTGGAGCCCAGGAGGAGACGCATCAGAAGGAGGTGAAGGCTCTGCAGGCTGCCTCAGAGAAGCTCTCCAAGGAGAACGAGTCGCTGAAAAGCAAGCTTGACCACGCCAACAAGGAGAACTCGGACGTGATAGCCCTGTGGAAGTCCAAGCTGGAGACCGCCATCGCGTCCCACCAGCAGGCCATGGAGGAGCTGAAGGCTTCCTTCAGCAAGGGGGTGGGGACAGAGACGGCCGAGCTGGCCGCACTGAAAACGCAGATAGAGAAAATGAGACTAGATTACCAGCACGAAATAGAAAGCTTGCAGAATCAACAAGACTCCGAACGGTCTGCTCACACTCAAGAGATAGAAGCCGTCAGGGCAAAGCTGATGGAGGTCATTAAGGAGAAAGAGAACAGTCTGGAAGCCGTCCAGTCGAAACTGGACAAGGCAGAAGACCAGCACCTGATAGAAATGGAAGACGCCTTGAACAGACTGCAGGAAGCCGAGACAAAGGTAAAGGAGCTAGAGGTGCTGCAAGCCCAGTGCAGTGAGCAAACCAAGGTTATTGATAGTTTTACGTCGCAGCTCAAGGCTGCCGAGGAAAAGCTGCTGGATCTGGACGCTCTTCGGAAAGCCAGTTCCGAAGGTAAATTGGAGATCGAGAAACTTAGACAGCAGTTTGAGGCAGCTGAGCAACAGATTAAAAATTTAGAGGTGGAAAGGAATGCTGCAAGTGACAAGGTTTGTATTGACATTCTTCATCTTTTTCTTTTCCATTTGCTTTTCTTATTTTTCATTGTATGGTTTTGTGGTTTTTGTTGTTTGTTTTTTGCATTGAAGTTAACTCATCTTCCAAATTCTTGATTTAAGTAAGACAAATTGCTTGGTGCTAACAAATCTCCCAGTTTGAATATAGTATGTTTTGATCATCCTCAGTATGGTTTCATCTGAGGAAATGGGAGAAAATAATGGCTCAATTATGTGAATTCGTTTTGGTTTCCAGTGGGTTCCTTTACCTCCATGCTTTTCTGTGATCTCCCATTCAAGCTTAGTTCCAGTCTAGAATCTCTTTCTAAAATAGAGAACTCCCTAATTGATGGCGCTAAGGTAAATGAATGAAGGAATTCGATAGAAACTTACATGATCGTCTCCTTTCCCAGCGCCATAGTTGCCTTGTCTGTGAGGTCGTATATGAAAACAATGTGAGCTCCGAGCGGTACTTGGCTGTTATATATGAACATGCCGTGATGAGTGACGCTCACGGCAGAGCTCGGGTTGAGAGCCTGGAGCCCTTTGCAGTGCCTCTTAGGTCTCGTTGGAGAGTTTCTGTGCCACAAGCAGAACACTGTTCCTCCTTTGGGGGGAAAGACTGGATGAGGATGCTTTTGGTCAAAGTGTGGGAAGTTAGGTGAAATGTCTGCCAGCTTCATTTCCTACAGCGAGCCTTGTTCAACAATGTCGTCTTCATTTCATGGCTTGTTCCAGGAGCTAATGCTCTTCCCAGTCCTCCTGCCACTCGGTGAGGCGCTGGCACTGATGCCAAATTTTCTGAGCTTTTTGCAGGAGAAGCAGCTCTATCGGCAAAGAAGGAAGGGTTGTGAGGGTTAAGTGGGGAGGACGGACAAATGGCAAAAATTGCTAAGTAACCTTCGTTGAAGATGATAAACTATTTACAGGAAATTTTTCTCAAATCTCCTCACTCGATTCCAAAATTCCAATCAAAATACAAAAATCTGTGGGGAATATGCAGCTAATATAAAAGTTGGTGCACTTTTTTTTTTAACATCAGGATTTAATGAAAGCCCATTTCTGATGACTGTGGTCTAGTGCATTTTTATAATTTCATTTTTATGTTAGCTGTTGGAATACTTTAGGCATATAAAAAATACAGAAAATGATAACCCAGACCACATGTACCCATCATTTCTATCTTAGGGCTTTTAAAGTCCAGGAAATGAAATTGCTCAACTAACTCAGAAAGTAAGCATCTGCACTTTCTGCTTTAAATCATGTTGATATTCCAAATATAGCAATAGAAAAACACTATTTTGATTATCTTAAAATAGACATTAGGTCATTATATCTCGGACTGACTATGAAAAGTCATTTGTTTCTTAGAATAAAAAAAACAAAAATGGTTTCTTATCCCCACCTTTATCCCTTTCAGTTGTGTTTGGTTGTGTTTGTTTCTCATAATATTTTTTTGTTTTATTTTTTTGTTTCTCATTATTATTTTGTTTTTGTTTGTTTGCTTTTGCACCATGTAACTGTGTATGGTAGGCTAGTAGCATTTCCAAAGAGCTGCAGGGGAAAGAGCTCACACTCAGCAAACTCCAGGAGCACGTGAGTGAAGTCAGTCACGTGAAAGAGGCTTTGGAGAAAGAACTTCAGGTGTTGGTAAGTACCTGCTGGGAGCCTGAGTCTCTGGCCAGTTGAATTGTTCCTGTTTACAAACAAAAATCTCCACAAAGAAAAAGCATTGTACCTAGTTCTTTCTCTTTCAAAGTACTGATTTAAATCAGACTTATTAGTAATAGGCTGCTAAAGACCTTGGGGGGGATCAGATCACACCCAAACTAGCAACAAAGGTAGGTATTACAGTCGTCCCCCCTTATCCACGGGAGATACAGTCCAAGACCCCTGTGGATGCCTGAAACTGCGAGGGGAGGGTACCGAACCCTGTATGTACTGTGTTTTTTCCTATGCTATACAGATCTTTGATAAGTTTACTTTATCAGTTAGGCACAGTAAGGGATTAACAATAACTAATAAAATAGAACAGTGATAACAATGTACTGTAATAAACGTTATGTGGTCACTCGTTTCAGGGGCCCCTTGCTGAAGTCCTCGTACAGGCTCAGTGCTTTCTGGCACAAAATCTTGCCATTAATTGAGATATGTTTTCTGCTTGTTCACCCACAAATTTTTAAAAAAATATTTTTATTGATTTCAGAAAGGAAGGGAGAATCATTGATCAGCTGCCTCCTGCATGCCTGCTACTGGGAATCAAGCCCACAGCCTAGGCATCTGCCCTGACCAGGAATTGAACTGTGACCTTCTGGTTCATAGGTTGACATTCAACCACTGAGCCACGCTGGCTGTGCCACCCATAAATTTAATGCCTTTTCCATCAGGCACGTATCACGCACTGTGGCCCTAACTTTTGGAGTTTGAGGTGCAACACCAAGACTAACAGGAATTTCTGTTCCTTCACAGCTTCACTGATAGAAGATTCTCACCTCAGCATACAATTTTTTTTTTCTTTCCTTAATAAGTTGAGGACTTTCACCTTTTCACTTGCAGGGGTGGGGAACGTCCAGCCCGTGGGCCATATATGGCCTAAGAAATCATTTGGTCTGGCCCTGCCAAGGCATTAGGGACGAGTTAATTAAATGTTTGACCAAATACCACATGCCAGTTTTTAAGGTGATAATTTTGTATGGTCTGTGAATGGTGTTATAAATATCCCTATGGCCCTGGGCAGAAATAAGGTTTCCCACCCTGAAAAGGGAGCACGTGATGCTGATCTTTACCTATCTGAATCGTCAGCACCACTGCTCTAACGGCTGTTATTCAGTAAAATAAGGGTGACTTGCAATAAGCATTGCGATATCTCGACAGTCGATTTGATAACCAGGAAGGCTACCAAGGTACTAAGGGGCAGCTGGAGTATCCATCATGGAGACGCCAGACAAAGGGATGAGGCACGTCTGGGCGGGACAGAGTGGGATGGCACAAGATTTCATCACGCTACTCAGAACAGCACACAATTTAAAACGTTTGAATTGTTTATCAAATTGTTTATTTTCTGGATTCCACATTTCGTATTTTCAGACGTTGGTTGACTGTGGAACTGAAACCATGGAAAGTGAAACCGTGCATAAGGGGACCTTCAAAAATAATCTGTCCTTTGCTCTGGTGATGTGTTGCTTTGGCATGCTATTGAGTGCTTAGTTTTATTAGACACAGGGACCTTCCTAGTTATGCACCCAGCACGTTTGGTTTCATGTATGATGAGGCCATGCACTGTGTCTTCTCCATTTGCCTGGTGACAGCCAGCCATCCTGGACCCCTGACCCTCTGTTAGCAAGGCAGGTCCTGATTCCGCAGATTCACACAACTCTTCCTTACAACTTGGCTTATTCACATCAGGAAATGCCTTTTTATTTCCTATATCCTCGTTCCCTAATCCCAAGTGGTATGATATTTTTTTTCTTCGCTTTTCTCAACTGTTCTTCCTACCTTGCCTCTTGCATCAAAAACATGAGCTTAATCAAGGTTGATCATCATAAGCAGTGGCAATGATACCCAGACATTGTGGGAAAGGAAAGTCATAGGCTTATGGAGGAACAAGGTAAGGGAAACATGTTCCACACTATGCACGCACATGCATATACTTAAATATGTGTGCACACTCACACATATATCCAGATGCATGTGTATGCCCAGGCATGCACACACGCACATGCAAACCTCATGCACTCGTGCTTATACAGGCACAGTATGCATACGGTAGTATTTGATGCCTTCGTGTTTTAAGTGTAAGTTTTAATGAAACAAAACCAGCCACAAAAATTAGGTAGCGTAGTTAGAACTGAAACATTTAGTTTTCATAATTTGAAATCTCTCTATTCTGAATACCCAATTCTTCTTTCTTTAGAAAGAAAAGTTTGCTGGTGCTTCAGAGGAGGCGGTCTCTGTCCAGAGGAATATGCAAGGTATGTGTTTCTCTTTTCTTTATTAAATATATTTTATTGATTTCAGAGAGGACGGGAGAGGGAGAGAGAGATAGAGACATCAGAGATGAGAGAGAACCATTGATTGGCTGCCTTCTGCGTGCCTCACACTGGGAATTGAATCCACAACCTGGGTATGTGCCCTGACCCAGAATCGAGCCATAACCTTGTTCATAGGTCAACGCTCAACCACTGAGCCATGCTGGCTGGGCTGCACAGTATGTGTTTCTAGTGTGTGAGCAGATTGCGTTAGAGAATGTCCCGTTCTCACAGTGGAGCTGGCCCCTGCAGTACGCAAAGTCCATGCTGCCCACAGTCCGACTGCACCATCCTCGAGGCCCCTGCAGTGCCCAGTAATACTGCATTCCATTGGCTCCCTAAAGCCTCAAATGCTAGCAATTTTTTTCTTCTTTTATTTTTATTGATTTTAGAGAGAGGAAGGAAGAGAGGGAGGGAGAGAGAGAGAAAAAGAGAGAAACATTGATGTGAGAGAGAAACACCTATGGGTTGCCTCCCGCACACCCCCCGACCGGGGTTCATCAAACCCACAACCTGCGTATGTGCGCTGACCAGGAATTAAACCCTCCACCTTTTGGTGTATGGGATGATGTTCCAAACAATTGAGCCACACCAGCCAGGGCATTATTTTCTTCTTTTGACTTAAAGTTTGTTTCATATTAAAATGTAAGTGTACTTAAGGGAAGTATTATCTTGCCTAAGCTTTAGTCCCTGATAGCTCTGTTGAGTTTTAAGTGGAAGGATGCCTGGTGCCTGCCTAATCTACAGAGTTGCGGAGGCAAAAGAGATACGTGCTTATATTCTTGAGGTTCATTATACAGTGTTTGATTTGCAATGGGACTTTGTAGTATTCCTGTGACTTCAGATCTCACGCATATGATTTGCCAAGCTCTAGATGGCTTGTTAAATATGAAATATATTAAACTTTTCACTTTATCCTAAATAGAAACTGTAAATAAATTACACCAAAAAGAGGAGCAGTTTAATGCGCTGTCTTCTGAATTGGAGAAGTTGCGAGAAAACCTAACAGGTAAGAAGATGTCTCTGGTTACTAAACATTAAGTATAGTAGGCTCCCTAGGATTTGAGATCATTGCAGTATGTTAGAGTAACACATCTATTCAGGCTTAATGTCTTCACTCATTATGGTGATATAATGGGACAGAATACCTGTTTGAGGTCCGTAACCTTCAGCAAACCCTCTCGGTCCTGTTTTCAAACGAGCCAGCGTCCAACAACATCGCTCCACTCCCACTGCTGTCCTTGACCCAAGCCAACCACCTTGCACCTGAGCTACTCCAGCAGTTGGCCTCCTGCCTGCTTCTGCCCTTGTTCCCTTCTGTCTGTTCTCAGCACAGCAGCCAGAGCGATCCTCCAGCATCAAGTCAGCCCCAGCTCCTGCCACTCCTCTGCTCAGGATCGCCCATTGGCTCCCAGATCACTTAGGACCACAGGCTGTGGTCCTTACCATCACAGGCTCCGCTCTCTCTCCACTTCCTCTTGCACTAGTTTTCCCGTTGTCCTTTCCACTCCAGCCGCAGTGGCCTCCGTGGAGACACCTGCATGTCAAGCACGTTCTTGCCTCGGGGCCTTTGCACTCACTCTCCCCTCTGCCTGCAGCCCCTTTGCCTTACTTCCTTCAGGTCTTAACTGAACTGTCACCGTCTCAGGGAGGCCTTATCAGAGATGTAACCCCCCAACTTCTTTCTTGCTCCTTTCTCTGCTTGTATTTTCTTCTTCTTAGCACTCAGCACTATCTATTATAGTATTTCCTTTCTTTATTGATCTTGTTTATTGCTTGTCTTCTTTGCTAGAGTATAATTTTCACAGGGATTGCTATATGTAAATATCCTCAGAGCAAGGCTGGTGTATGGGATACAGGCAGGCAGTTTTTGTTCATTATAACAGCAGTGCTATTTTTTTTTCTATGTCTATTCAGGCATGGAGGCAAAATTTAGAGAGAGAGATGAAAGAGAAGAGCAGTTGATAAAGGCAAAAGAAAAGCTGGAAAACGACATTGCAGAAATAATGAAAATGTCAGGAGATAATTCTTCTCAGTTGACAAAAATGAATGACGAGTTACGTCAGAAAGAAAGGTACGTATGAATGCTCATGAGAGTGCCTGCTTTAGGTTAGGCTCTGAGGCAGGGCCTCGGTGGGAGGGTAGCTCAGGTCTTGAGGGTTGTTGTGTTTTCTTTCTCGTCTCTTCTTTCTCTTATTACCTCAATGAATACTTGAGTCTACTGCTTAACCTCTAAGGAATATAATATTGTAGACCTTCCGTTGACTTGTTAGGAAAAGGTAGTTTATCAATGGCAGTAACATCTTTTACAGGCAGTTAAAAATATTTTTAAAATATGTTTTTATTGATTTGAGAGAGAGAGAGAGAATTCAGGCATGGAGGCAAAATTTAGAGAGAGAGATGAAAGAGAAGAGCAGTTGATAAAGGCAAAAGAAAAGCTGGAAAACGACATTGCAGAAATAATGAAAATGTCAGGAGATAATTCTTCTCAGTTGACAAAAATGAATGACGAGTTACGTCAGAAAGAAAGGTACGTATGAATGCTCATGAGAGTGCCTGCTTTAGGTTAGGCTCTGAGGCAGGGCCTCGGTGGGAGGGTAGCCCAGATCTTCAGGGTTGTTGTGTTTTCTTTCCCGTCTCTTCTTTCTCTTGTTACCTCAGTGTATACTTGAGTCTACTGCTTAACCTCTAAGGAATACAATATTGTAGACCTTCCGTTGACTTGTTAGGAAAAGGTAGTAGTTTATCAACAGCAGTAACATCTTTTACCGGCAGTTAAAAATATTTTTAAAATATGTTTTTATTGATTTGAGAGAGAGAGAGAGAGCGCTAGGAAGAGGGAGAGAGATAGAAACATCAATGATGAGAGAGAATCATCAATTGGACGTGCCCCCCCACTCCCATCCTGGGGATGGAGTCTGCAACCTGGGCATGTGCCCTGACTGGGAATCAAACTGGTGACCGCTAGGTGCATGGGATGATGCTCAACCAACTGAGCAACACTGGCTGGGCAGCAGTTAAAAATATTTTTACTGCCCTTACTATTTCCTAATTCTCATAGTAATCCTATGAGGTGAGGATATTATTGTTCCCATTTTAAAGAAAAGGAAACTGAGGCTTAATGAGGTTCAGTAACTTGCCTGAGGTTTCAGATCTAGGCAGTCCAGTTCCCAGTCCTTGCTGCTCTTAATTGCTCCGTTGTACTTCCTCAGTGCTAATGCTTCTGTTACCCAATCTCTGCTCTTGTCTTTATTCTGAGGTCTTGTTTGATTTTTTTCTCCTTTTGATAGCTGCCATATGGAAATAAAATGTTTTATAAGGCAAACACTTTCAGAGGACACTTTAGGACAGGGGTCCTCAAACTACGGCCTGCGGGCCACATGCAAATACAAATATTGTATTTGTTCCCGTTTTGTTTTTTTACTTCAAAATAAGATATGTGCAGTGTGCATAGGAATTTGTGGTGCATGGGATGATGCTCTACCAACTGAGCAACACTGGCTGGGCAGCAGTTAAAAATATTTTTACTGCCCTTACTATTTCCTAATTCTCATAGTAATCCTATGAGGTGAGGATATTATTGTTCCCATTTTAAAGAAAAGGAAACTGAGGCCTAATGAGGTTCAGTAACTTGCCTGAGGTTTCAGATCTAGGCAGGCCAGTTCCCAGTCCTTGCTGCTCTTCATCGCTCCGTTGTACTTCCTCAGTGCTAATGCTTCTGTTATCCCAATCTCCGCTCTTGTCTTTATTCTGAGGTCTTGTTTGATTTTTTTCTCCTTTTGATAGCTGCCATATAGAAATAAAATGTTTTATAAGGCAAATACTTTCAGAGGACACTTTAGGACCACTAGACTTCAGATTCTGAAAGTGTCACTACTTGGACAAGTTATGTTTACACTTCGCCATACACCACACACAGTTCAGTGTTAGTGGGTGACTGGCGACTAGCCTTGCTCGACCGACGTTGGTCAGACTTGCTGTGAGGCGGGTGCCGCTGGTGGCCGTGACATGGGGTCTTGGAGCAGTTCCATTGCCATAGGTGTTTTATAGGTGTAACGCCCAGAGGGACCACAGGTTTCCCTTCTCCATTTCTAGGCTGATGTCCCATGTTTTCTGTGCATCTTTGTTCGACCACATTTTTTTAAATATATTTTTTATTGATTTCAGAGAGGAAGGGAGAGATAGAAAAATCAATGATGAGAGAGAATCATTGATCAGCTGCCTCCTGCCCGCCCCCTACTGGGAATCGAGCCCACAACCTGGGCATGTGCCTTAACCAGGAATCGAACTGTGACCTCCTGGTTCAAGGTTGATGCTCAACCACTGAGCCACATCAGCTGGGCACCCCAAGTTCTTTAAGTTATTTATTGTCATTTTTATGTTCTCAAGCATCACTAGAATGAGTTTTTTATAATCTAGTCTGCTAAAATTTTGACACTTTGTAAATACTCAATATGTTTACTTTCCACTCATTTTTCCCTGTAGATCTATGGACATAAAATAATCCTAACAATTATAGTAGATGCTACTCTAAATAATGTATTTATAGCTATGACAGTTGTTAAAATTAGTCTCCAGGACAAATCAAGTTTTTTGGTTGCTTATTTCAGATGTTATTAATTACTCATAATATTTATAATCATTAATTCAATTATGATTAATAGTATCTTTCTAGTAGAACTCTAGAACTGAAAGCATTCTTTTGAAAAATCTGACACGGTGTATTGAAACTTCTCCTAGAGATGTGGAAGAATTACAGCTAAAACTTACAAAGGCCAATGAAAATGTGAGCTGTCTGCAGAAAAGTATTGGGGATGTAACTCTCAAAGCTGAACAGAGCCACCCCTCCTGGGAATTGAGCCCGAAACCTGGGCATGTGCCTTGACCAGGAATCGAACTGTGACCTCCTGGTTCAAGGTTGATGCTCAACCACTGAGCCACATCAGCTGGGCACCCCAAGTTCTTTAAGTTATTTATTGTCATTTTTATGTTCTCAAGCATCACTAGAATGAGTTTTTTATAATCTAGTCTGCTAAAATTTTGACACTTTGTAAATACTCAATATGTTTACTTTCCACTCATTTTTCCCTGTAGATCTATGGACATAAAATAATCCTAACAATTATAGTAGCTGCTACTCTAAATAATGTATTTATAGCTATGACAGTTGCTAAAATTAGTCTTCAGGACAAATACAGTTTTTTGGTTGTTGCTTATTTCAGATGTTATTAATTACTCATACTATTTAATTATGAGTAATTAATAACATCTAATTAAAAGATACTATCAGTTGTGATTAATAGTATCTTTCTAGTAGAACTTTAGAACTGAAAGCATTCTTTTGAAAAATCTGACATGGTGTATTGAAACTTCTCCTAGAAATGTGGAAGAATTACAGCTAAAACTTACAAAGGCCAATGAAAATGTGAGCTGTCTGCAGAAAAGTATTGGGGATGTAACTCTCAAAGCTGAACAGAGCCAGCAAGAAGCAACTAAAAAGCATGAGGAAGAAAAGAAAGATTTGCTGAAAAAATTGCTGGACCTGGTAAGGAGGGAGCACATGGGACTGTTTGCTGGCGAGGAAGGTGAAGGGCAGTTCAGTTGTGGTGAGGCGACTCATTTCTTCTCTCGGGGCTCCCGCAGGAAAAGAAGATGGAAACGAGCCACAACCAGTGTCAAGATCTGAAAGCCAGGTATGAGGAAGCCAGTTCTGAGACCAAGGCGAAGCATGAGGAGGCTCTGCAGAAGCTGCAGACGCTGCTGCGGGGCACAGAGGAGAGGCTGGCGGCCACCCAGGAGCAGAACAAGGACTTGTTGCAGGAAGTGGTGGAATTGAAAAAACAAGCCGAGGATGCTAGAGTAAGTGGCAGAGGGAATTATGTTGCATTTGTTTGCTTGGGTTCTGCTTCAGGCTGGAAGGGCCCTTAGCAAGTGGCAGCTAAGGAGATGAGCTTGACAAATGTTCACCTTGCCAGTGCATGGCCTCATGGTGAATCACATTTCCCACCAGCCGCTGCCCTTGTCCGGGGTAGGCCGTAGCTGCAGGTCTCTTCCCCTGAGCGTACCATGTGGCCATCGCCCCCTCTGCTGTCACAAAGAGTCCGATGTGGCTGAGATCGGTCTGCCTTCTTGGAATAGACTCTTTGTTGTGGAAAAGCTTGTTCCTCTAATCTTGGCCATCTTGCAGCCAGCTTGCGCTAGGGGCTAGGAGAGACCTGTTGCAGAAAAGCCAGAGGCAGAGGCCAGGTGCGGAGGTGAGCAGGGAATGGAGCCTGGTTGGAGGAACAGCTCCCAGAGATTAGGATTCTGGAGAGCACTTTTGCATGCTCCCCAGGAAGGCACAGTGAGCTTATTGAAGGAAGCTGGATTCAGGGCCCGCAAGGAAACATCTGTTATTAAATAGAGTAGAACTTGATGTATTGCATTTCGTTTTGTGGTCAGGATTGTATCTGTACCCTAGTAGATTTTTTTGACTCTGGTAACTTCATGTTCAACCTTCCTACTAGTTTTTAACTTTTTCTTACTGCCATTTAACTTACTGAAAGAAAAGTAAATACTTGTCTTTATTTTTAATGTTCCAGAGAAATGTTTATAGAGGAGGAGTTTGCTAGAAAGAAAATCTACAAAGAGCATCTGTAGGTCTTGAAACGGATCCCATTTAAAACTTGTAAATAAAGTGGATCATAACACAATATATGTCATGTATAAGATGCCTAAGTTTTCTCCCTCCTGCATGCTGGACACCAGGGCTTTCTCTTCTCCCTCCCTGTACAATATCTAAAGATTTATGAGCCATTCACTTAACACTGGATGTAAGTTCCAGATCGTCTGTCTTTGTGGTTCCCTTGATCTGGACGGACTCCAGTTTTTTCCTGTTTCCCTTAAAAATGTTGCAGCCTGACCTGACCACAGCATTCTAGTAGTTTGTGTAAAGTCTGGCTGGGTGTTTGTTTGTTTGTTTGTTTACAAGGTCATTTGGTTCACAGTTTGCATGCTCCCCAGGAAGGCACAGTGAGCTTATTGACAAGGAAGCTGGATTCAGGGCCCACAAGGAAACATCTGTTATTATTTGCATGCTCCCCAGGAAGGCACAGTGAGCTTATTGAAGGAAGCTGGATTCAGGGCCCGCAAGGAAACATCTGTTATTAAATAGAGTAGAACTTGATGTATTGCATTTCGTTTTGTGGTCAGGATTGTATCTGTACCCTAGTAGATTTTTTTGACTCTGGTAACTTCATGTTCAACCTTCCTACTAGTTTTTAACTTTTTCTTACTGCCATTTAACTTACTGAAAGAAAAGTAAATACTTGTCTTTATTTTTAATGTTCCAGAGAAATGTTTATAGAGGAGGAGTTTGCTAGAAAGAAAATCTACAAAGAGCATCTGTAGGTCTTGAAACGGATCCCATTTAAAACTTGTAAATAAAGTGGATCATAACACAATATATGTCATGTATAAGATGCCTAAGTTTTCTCCCTCCTGCATGCTGGACACCAGGGCTTTCTCTTCTCCCTCCCTGTACAATATCTAAAGATTTATGAGCCATTCACTTAACACTGGATGTAAGTTCCAGATCGTCTGTCTTTGTGGTTCCCTTGATCTGGACGGACTCCAGTTTTTTCCTGTTTCCCTTAAAAATGTTGCAGCCTGACCTGACCACAGCATTCTAGTAGTTTGTGTAAAGTCTGGCTGGGTGTTTGTTTGTTTGTTTGTTTACAAGGTCATTTGGTTCACAGGCCGGCATTGCTCCCCCTCCAAAGTGTCTGGATATTCGGTTTCTGTGGCTTTTGGTGTTTGTCAACAACACTGGCTCATAGGCTCTTTTTGAGAATCTGATGAAATCTTAAGATGTTTTTCCTGGGAAAGTTTACATATACACTCAACAAGTTTATGTGACATTCCAGGAGGTGCATGGAGCCCAGGATGCCTCTGTTTCCCAAGTTGAGGCCTCTGTTTCCCTGGATCTATAGCTGTGCTGTCCAGGACAGTAACCACTAGCCACGTGTGGCCATTCAAATGTAAATTAGTCAAATATATATATATGTTGGATTGTGTTTTTAAGGATTTCAAATGCACATTTCTATGATAATGGTCTGTATATTGCATTGTGTGCCCACCACCCAAAGTCTCATCATCTTCCGCCACCATACATTTGGCCCCCTTTACCCTTTACTACTCCCCGCCCCTCTTCCCACCGGGGGCCACCATACTGTTTGTGTCAGTTTTATATCCCACATATGACTGAAATCATGTGGTTCATAGCTTTTTCTTCCTGACTCATTTCGCTTTGCATGATAAGTCAGATTGTAATAAGGTCGACCGTTTAGTCACACTCACCGTGCTCAAGTGCTTGCACATGTGGCTAGAGGCTAGCACACAGGACCGTGCAGACGGAGCACATTTACACCATTGCTGAAAGTTCTGGATGGCGCTGGTAGAGACACTGTGATCAATTTATGTATCTGTAAACCAGTGCATTTGTTTAAAAACCCACTTATTTTCATTGCCAGAGCTTAGCGAAGTAATCTGTATTTTTAATGTTGTATGTAATAGTGGGACTAGATCCGTGTCAGGCCAGCAACTCTCCTTTAGTAAGTAAGGGCCTGCCGTGAGTTTGAAAGCAACAGATTTTTTTCCCTTGCCCTTACCCCGCCCCCCCCCCCCCCCGCACTTTTATTTTTTTGAAAATATGCTCACTTTTTATAGTTCGTTGGATTGTATTTTTAAAGATTCTTTTGTGCCTCCTTTCTACATAGACATTGTTGGATAATTAGAATGGCAGGGAAGAATCTTATGCCCTGATGTCAAAAATCACACTACTGTTTTTTCTTTTTAATTTATATATTTTTATTTATTTCAGAGAGGAAGGGAGAGGGAGAGATAGAAACATCAGTGATGAGAGAGAATCATTGATTGGCTGCCTCCTGCACTGGGGACTGAGCCCGCAACCTGGGCTTGCGCCCTGACCAGGAATCGAACTGTGGCCTCCTGGTTCATAGGTTGACACGCAACCATGGAGCCACGCCGGCCGGGCCACACTACTGTTTTTACCTTAAGAAAGCTATCAAGAATAATCTCAGAAATTCTCTGAAAGATAAAAGAAACTAATAGCTGTCTTGGCCCTTTGCAGAGCTAATCCTGCTCTGTAGTATCTTTTATGAGCTCTTTTCTTCAGTACTCTTTCCCTTGTTATTCAGATAGTTTTCGTGACATTTATTATAAAAATTTTAACTTTTATGATTTAGGCTACATTAAGTTATCTGGGCTTGCATGTATCTGCTTGATTTCATCTTATTTCCATTCTCCCCACCTTTTGTTTCTGTAGTCGCTAACTTGTTTGTTAACATCAGCCCAAAGAGAAACCGAGCTAATGTCAGAAGAGCTGAGGGGTCTGAGGTCAGAGAAGCAGCTCCTGGCGCAGGAGGGCAATGCTTTAAAGTCAGAGAAAGGTGCGCTCATGTCCAAGCTTGTAGAGGCAGAGACCAGAGTAACGTTCCTCCAGGAAGACCAGAGGAAGCTGTGGTCGATAAACGAAGCCCTTAATTTAGAAAAGGAGCAACTCTTAGAAGAAAAGCTGCATCAGCAGGGGCAGCTCCAGAGTGAAGCTCTGGCTGCAGAGAGAGAGAAACTGCTTCAGGAAGTCACTGTCACACAGGAAGAGCTCCTGAAGATGCGCACAGAAAACGCCTCTCTGCAGGCTTCCATAGCCGCCCTGCAGGCCCTCGTGGAGGAGCTCCAGTTCAGCAAGGAGAGCCTGACCGCCGAGTGCCAGAAGGACCGGGAAGAAAAAGACCACCTGGAGGACCGCGTCAAGAAGCTCGTGAGCGAGAACCTTGCTGTGGCTAAAGATAAAGACAAGACCATTAAGAAGCTGCAGAGCTCTTACGAGGAGCTGGTCAGAGACCAGAAGGCCTTGGTGCAGGAGATCAAAGATCTCACGGCGGAGAAAAAGTCAGCGGCGGAGAAGCAGTCGGGCCTTGAAAACATATGCGTAGCCCTAAAGGTCGAAATGGATGGGCTCTTGCAGAGCAGCAGGGACCTGCAGCTGGAGAAGGGCGCACTGCTTCAGGACCAGGACAAGCTCAGCACCAGCCTGGCCACTGCGCTCCAGGTCAAACAGCTGCTCAGCGCCGAAGCCAGCGGGCTCCGTGCGCAGCTGGACACTGCCAGCAAAGGGCTGAGGAAGGCCGAGCTGGAGGCCATGCAGCTTCAGGCCGCGAACACCAGCCTCACGAAGCTCCTGGAGGAGATTAAGGCCAGCCGGGAGATCACGGACTCCGAGTGCATCCAGCTCCTGCACGAGAAGGAGATCCTGGCCATGTCTGAGAGGAGGCTCCTGGCCGAGAAGGAAGAACTCGTGCGTGAAAATAGGCTCGTCATTGAGAAACTCGGCCAGTGCTCCGGGGAGGCCGTGCGCGTGGAGACGAGCCTGAACGAGAAGATCGCGTACCTGACCTCGGAGAAGGAGACGGTTTGTCAGAAAGCGTCTAAGATCAAAAGGCAGCTGGACAGCCTCCTGAAGGAAAAGTCTGTGCTGGAAACACAGAACGGAGATTTACTTGCAGAAAGAGAGAATTCCATTAACTGCATAGGAGAGCTTAAAAGGAAGTACGAGCAAGAGTCTGCAAACAGGAGGCTCGTCGTGCAAGAGAAGATGAAGCTCTTGGGTAACCTCGATGCTCTGAAGAAAGAGCTCCAGGAGAGAAAAAAGGAAAACCAAGAACTGGCCACTGCCAAGTGCGAGCTCTCACTGATGCTGAAAGAGGCCCAGAGCGCCCAAGAGCACCTGGAAAAGGAGCACACCCACATCCAGCAGGCCAGGGAGAGCCTGAAGGCTGAGCTGGAAACGTGCTGCTCCGAGAAGGACCAGATGCTGAGGGACGGGCTGAGCCTGCAGGAGGAGTGCCAGAAACTGAAGGAGGAGGTGTGCGCGGTGCAGCAGTCCTTGCTCCTGGAGCAGGAGGCCCGGGCCAAGGAGAGCGAGTCAGCCTCCTACGAGAACAGCAAGTTACTTGGGAGGGCAGCGTGCCTGGAGCAGGAGCTGGAAGAGCTGAGAGCATCCACCAAGGAGCTCCAGGCCGAAAACGTGGGGCTCGTCCAAGAGAAGAGCACCTCTGAGCAGAAGGTGGCGGAGATCCTGAAGGAAAAGGAGCTCCTGACTGCAGAAACGGCGCGGCTGGCTGCCAACATCGAGACGCTGCGCAGCGACTTCGCCTCCCTGTCCAAGTCCAAGCTGGAGTTGCAGGAGCTGCACAGCTGCCTCAGCAAGATCCTGGATGACCTGCGGCTGAGCCACCAGGCGGCCGTGGCCGACCGGGCCCAGGCGCTGCAGGACAACAGCAGCCTGCTGGCCGAGAAGAGGGAAGTGGCGCTGAAGTGGGATGAGCTCCTGAAGGAGAAGGAGACGCTGGCCGAAAGCTACTTCATCCTCCAGAAGGAGATCAGCCAGCTGGCCAAAACCAACAGCCACATTTCCACCAACCTCCTAGAGTCTCAGAACGAAATTCGTATCTTGAGGAAAGACAAGAGCAAGCTCACCCTTAAAATTAGAGAGCTCGAGACTCTCCACTCATTCACGGTAACGTGGGAGGTCCCAGCACTGAGCACCTGGACTACTAACACTGCACTAACTCCTTAGTGGCCAGGGCGTGTGTGTCCGTTTCCCTACAAGGCAGTCCACCCCATTTTCTCCGTTGTTTGTATGTCTCCAGCTGTTTGTTGCCACCCGAAAGGGCACTTCTTTACTAAATGTCTAATTGCAGGTCTCTCTCCATTAGAAAGAGTTGTAAACTGTGAATAACAAGGATATACTTTTTAACTTGAGGGGGACATTTTCATGAAAAAGTCAAATGGGGCTCTTTTTTAAAAATACGTTTTTATTGATTTCAGAGAGGAAGGGAGAGGGAGAGATAGAAACATCAATGATGAGAGAGAATCATCGATCCGCTGCCTCCTGCACACCCCACAGTGAGGATCGAGCCCACAACCTAGGCATGTGCCCTGACCGGGAATCGAACCGTGTCCTCCTGGTTCATAGGTCGATGCTCAACCACTGAGCCACACCAGCTGGGCTCAAAAATGGTTAAGGCTTATGAACAATAGTAAAATGGGCACATTGTTGAAATATATAGTGTCTTCTATTTGGCTTTTTACTGTTTCATTGTGTCCATCCATTTGGAGTTGGAAGGCTCCAGTGGAACCTGCATGGCTGGGAACAGGGAAGGCATAACACTGAATTCCCCTATGTGTCATTGGACCACTTGTAGTTGCAAGCAGCTGCCTAAAAGGGTTTTCATTTATTTTATGATTTTTTTTTTTTACAGATTGCCAGCTAAGGGTTTATTTCCCTATTCATATTATCTTTTTTATTCACAGCCATGTTTATATTCATTACCCACCACTTCTCATAGACATTTCCATTCAGTGCTACTCCTTAAGCCTTGACCCTTACATTCTAATTGCGCAAATAATTTTTATTTTTACTTGAAAAATTCCCCACCTCAATTCTGAGTGGTTTCAAAAGCCCCCCAGTTTGAACTAGCAAGGCCAGTATTGTAAGCTTAGAACGGGTACATGTGATTAAGAGAAAAATGCAGCCACGAAAGGGTATCGCTCTTGATCGTCACTGCATGTTTCCCTCAAGCCTAAGCCAGGATGGCGAGTGTGACTGTCAGTGTCACTCAGAAGGCACAGGTTCAGAGGGGCCCATGGTAACCGGTTTACTGAGAAATGGCCTGGGAAGGGAGCAGAGCCCCTCATGTCTCAGCGTGTGCGGACCTCAGGCGGGCCCGTCCCTGTGTGACCCCTGTGCAGCGCAGCCTGAGCGTTGACCTCGCGGGGTTGGCGAGCCTGGCCCCGTGCCTCACAGTGCTTTCTTGTGTTTAGGCTGCTCAAACAGCAGAAGACGCCATGCAGATCATGGAACAGATGACCAAAGAGAAGTCGGAAACTCTCGCCTTCTTGGAGGATACCAAGCAAACCAATGAAAAACTCCAGAATGAAGTAATCAGATTTAAATGGCTTTTTGTACAAAGGACAGCTTATCGACTTCACGGGATGTTTGATCATTAACTCAGGATTGTTTATTTTTTTGAAGCGTGGCCTCATGCAGGTTTGATCTTCGTTAGCGGAGTCGAATGTACACCAGAACCACGATAATATTAAATAAAGTGTATTACTTCATTGCTTCCCTAGTAGGATCCACCTTTTAAAAACAAGGGGGAAACCCTAACAGCGTGGCTTTCTATGGTGACTGTTTGATAGAACTGCTGAGAGGAGGCGCTGATAACATGCTCTAGTTTTTGTGTCTTTTCTCTTAGATCACACACACTTTTTTTTTCCCAACTCTCTCCCAACTTTGAGCCACTAAATTTCATTCCTCAGCTCCGAGTTTGATGTAGGCCTTTTCTTGGCCTAATTCAGTACGGGTTCCCAATTGTGTCATCTCGAATTCGTCACTTCTGGGTCTTGGATACATTTGTGGTGTCGAGATCATTTCGATTCTGTCCAAAAGTAGCATTCTCGTTCTTATACCCTCCTCTGATTTCCCTCCTCCACCCTCCAACTCATGTTAGTCCTTTCTGCCTTTGGAAAGATGTTACCTAAATCCTAAGCAGGGTGATTCACTGGAATAGTGTACATAAAATTCTATAGAACTTTGGGTACTTTTATTTTTTATTATATTTTAAAATATATTTTTATTGATTTCAGAGAGGAAGAGAGAGTTAGAAACATCAATGGTGAGAGAGAATCATTGACTGGCTGCCTCCTGCATATCCCCTACTGGGGATCGAGCCTGCAACCCAGACATATGCCCTTGACTGGAATCGAACCCAGGACCCTTCAGTCCACAGGCTGATGCTCTATGCACTGAGCCAAACCATCTAGGGTCTTTAGGTGCTTTTAAACATAACAAGCAGGTAAGACATTAAGTAAAGCACAATAAAGACATAGCCTTCTCATTATGGAAGATCCAGGATGTGAATCTGTGAAAGACACGAGCATTTTGAGGTAATTATAGGGTCAATAAAACTCGACACAGTAGGGAGTATATTTATAGAATTGACAGTCTTCGGAGAAGACTTTAAGCTAAAAATATAACATTTTAAAAATCATTGATGATCATCAACGTTAGAAACTAAAGTAAATGAGAAGGTTTTAGGGACTGGCTCTCACCTCTGAGGCTAGAATCGTGTGCCTCAATAGCATACGCCCAGGTGTCTTGGTTGCAGCCAGAATGAATCAAGGCTGTATGAATCATTTTCTGGACCCACTGTGATATTTTGTTTTTCTTGTTCTGTGTTACTGGAATGTTAGAGGGCACCAACAGGAAGATGGTGTGTAAAAATTAGCAAGACACTTTTTAGGACTCCTGACTGGTGACCTGTGGCAGAGCAAAAGTCTCTCTGGCCATGGGAGATAAGTATACAAATCCCAGAGAGCCAGCCGGCACCCGGAGCACACGCTGTGTGATGGGTGACCCCCTAAAGGGCTCCCCACCTAGAACTGCATTCCCTACCAGAGCCTGTGATTGGTCACATCCCCACTCACCCCTGTCCCACGTCTGGATTCCCGCCAGGGGCCAGGCCGGCCCTACTCCTGGTTGTGTCCACCGTGGGCAGGTGGTGGGGCTGAGCCTGTGCGAGGGGCTTTCAGCATCACTACATGGCTTTTTCCTTCTCAGATTGAAGTTCCAGTGGGTAACTCTTATCCGCCGTCTACACATGTTTTGTTTCAAGTAACTTTTAAAATGAGGACTATGTAAAATTGGTATTGGTGTTGAAAAATATCATAGCCTAAATCACTAATTTTAAGGAGAGAGGTTTGTTTTCATTACAAAGAAGAACACTTACTGAGGTCAAGCCTTTGCAATTTCTTTCTTTTCTTTTCTTTCTTTTTTTTTTTAAGATGGTTCATACTTGAATAGCAAGTTCAATGATAAATGTCAGGAATTGTACACAAGGTGAAATGAAACTTTCGTTTTAACTTACGAAGCAGTTTAGTCTGACATTTTGACCAGGTGTACAGGAATCCAACTAGGTGTAAAGGGGGGTGGTTTACAGTTTATAACACTTGGTCATATGCAATCTTTTCATCAGGGTGATTTTTTTAAAATAAGTGACTGAGTTCACTATTTTTTTAATGCCTATTTTCGTGAATAATTTGTCATTATTCAGTCATGTCATTGGAAAACGAGATAATTTCACCGAGCTTTTTTCTCTTGGTCTTTAAGTTGGATACACTTAAAGAAAACAACTTGAAAAATGTGGAAGAGCTGAACAAGTCGAAAGAACTTCTGACTGTTGAGAATCAGAAAATGGAAGAATTCAGGAAAGAAATGTAAGTTTATCTCCTGTGAGAGATGTTGTGGAACTTACTAAAATCACAAACGTGAAAACAATGCTAATTATTTAAAAAAAAAAACCCTTTAAGTTGGATACACTTAAAGAAAACAACTTGAAAAATGTGGAAGAGCTGAACAAGTCGAAAGAACTTCTGACTGTTGAGAATCAGAAAATGGAAGAATTCAGGAAAGAAATGTAAGTTTATCTCCTGTGAGAGATGTTGTGGAACTTACTAAAATCACAAACGTGAAAACAATGCTAATTATTTAAAAACAAAACAAAACTTGACAAGTACATGGAGTAAAAATAGTCTCCCTCCTGCCCCCTCGGTGTTACTGTACCTGAGAAGTAGTCCCTATAACACACTGTCGTAAGTCAGAAATACAGGTGTGGTAAAGACCAAGATGAAATATGTGCTGGCTGGTGGCCCTAACCCCAGCCCAGCGCCCCACTGCCAGCATCCCACCTCTGAGCTCTCTGGGCCGTACTAGGAAACGGAGGGGCAGGGCCGGAGTGGGCCTCACCAAGAGAGCTTGGGCGTCGAATATGATCCCTCCTCCCAGCTATATGACTGCTGGTCTCTGGTCACGGCATTCCACTGGTTGGTGTTGAAGTATTCAAGGTCCTTGCTCAATTGTTCTGTCCTGCCACCTCCCCCACAGCGTGGGGTGGTTTCACCTCTCATAAGAGACAGATGGTTTTTGTGCCCCCTTCCTTGAATGATCCCCGCAAGCACTGAAAGCTTAGCGTCATGCCTGTGGAAGCAGAGGACCAGGGGCAGAAGACGGTGCTGCTGCCCCTCTCACCTCGGCCTGTCTTCCTCCCTGGAGCCGTACTCCCCTGATCCCTGATGGCCGTGGTCCAGGTGAGGGGCCAGGTCACAAGGTGGACAGAGCCTAGGCTGCCTTTTTTTTTTTTTAATCCTCAACCAAGAATAAGTTTTCATTGATCTTTTTGGAGAAAGAGGAAGGGAGAGAGAAAGGAAAAACAAAACAAAACATCGATTGGTTGCCTCCCATAAGTGCCCCAGCTGGGGCTGGGACCTACAATGCAAGAATCAAACCCGAAACCTTTTGGTGATGCTCTAACCAACTGAGCCATTGGGCCAGGCTGCTTTGATTAACTTCTTCCTGGCCCACCTCTATGAAGTGCATGTACCCACTGCGCTCAAAAGAAAAAAAGGTGTTTCTATTTTCAAATCAGGTCCATGCCGCCAGTTTTTAAAAAATGTATACATTTTATTGATTTCAGAGAGGAAGGGAGAGGGGGAGAGAGATAGAAACATCAGTGATGAGAGAGAATCATTGATCGGCTGCCACCTGCACACCCCCGATGGGATTGAGTCCGCAACCCAGACATGTGCCCTGACTGGGAATCGAACCGTGACCTCCTGGTTCATAGGTTGACGCTCAACCACTGATCCATGCTGGCCGGGCCACCAGTTTTAAGTCCAGTTTTCTCAATTCTACAGCTTACTGCTGCCTTTATGATTTGGGGCAAATCTTTTCAGTTCCCTGAACCTCCGTTTTCTCATCTTTAAAATACAAATAATACCATGAGCTTCCTTAAGCGTTTGAGGATTCAATGAGAAAATATGTAAATAAGCATTTTTGTTGATTTTAAAACATCGAACAAAGACTTAGGACATTTTGATATTTCTTAGACCCCTTGTTTTAATTTTCCTCGCTGTGGGCTCCTAATAGACACCAAGGATTGAAAAACCTTTAAAAGATGGAAATCTTTCCTAGAGAAAGAATAGGATCACAAATGTCTCTCACAGGCCACACAAACGCCGAGACCAAACATCCCCTGAGGAGGGCAGTGCTCACTTGGGAGTGAAAGGTTTGGCTTATGATGATTTCATCATGAGTAAAACCTTTTATTTGGTCAGGAATTGATTAGACAGAAGATGGGCTTCAGCTGTCCTATGTGTGTGTATGTTTTGATCCATGGCTAACATCAAGCCTCCCAGGTTTTGATGTTTGTTTGTTTTTTAATATATTTTTGTTGATTTTGGAGAGTAAGGGAGAGAGAGAGATAGAAAAATCAATGATGAGAAAGAATCATTGATTGGCTGCCTCCTGCATGCCCCCTACTGGGGATCGAGCCCACAACCCAGGCATGTGCCCTTGACCAGAATCGAACCCTGGACACTCCAGTTCGCAGGCCAATGCTCTATTCACTGAGCCAAATCGGCTAGGGCAAGCCTCCTAGGTTTTGAATGACTAATTACCTGAGGCTAAAATTCCCTCTGTCTCAGTTTTCCTTCATATTTTTGTTGATTTTGGAGAGTAAGGGAGAGAGAGAGATAGAAAAATCAATGATGAGAAAGAATCATTGATTGGCTGCCTCCTGCATGCCCCCTACTGGGGATCGAGCCCACAACCCAGGCATGTGCCCTTGACCAGAATTGAACCCTGGACACTCCAGTTCGCAGGCCAATGCTCTATTCACTGAGCCAAATCGGCTAGGGCAAGCCTCCTAGGTTTTGAATGACTAATTACCTGAGGCTAAAATTCCCTCTGTCTCAGTTTTCCTTCACTTGCTAAATAAATATCTCTGTAAGACAACAAATTTAATGTGCTAATAAGAGAATTGCTTTGTAGATTTATTCCCCTAAATCTTCACGAGGCCAGCCCAGTGTGCATATTGTAGGTGGATGGAGAACTAAAAATCTAGAAAACTGAGATGCCAAGCACCGCCACCCATTAGACAATTGAAGTTAAAAATAGATGTGTTCATGCGTCAGCGGATGGATTTATACCCAGATGACTGGACTCAGAATTCAGCCATGTATGGCAGCTTGCTAAATGGAGTGTAGCCAGCACAGACTCAAGATTCATAATTGTATCAAAACCTGCGATGGCATAAAACCACAATGTAGTGATCAAATAAAATATTTGGAATGTCCATGTAGGGAGGTTAACAACTCGGGAGGTATATTTTGGATTAATTTTAACCTTGGAAAGATGCTTAGTAAATAGAGTTAGCCAGCTCAAGTTTTTTTGTGTTGTTGTTTTTTAAATAGATTTTTATTGATTTCAGAGAGGAAGGGAAAGGGAAAGAGAGACAGAAACATTAATGATGAGAGAGAATCATTTATCGGCTGCCTCCTGCATACCCCCTACTGGGGCTTGAGCCTGCAACTGGCCATGTGCCCTGACCGGGCATCGAACCCTGACCGTCTGGTTCATAGGTTGATGCTCAACCATTGAGTCACACCAGCCAGGCCCTGCTCATCCTAGGATGAGGTGGATCGTGGCAGGGGAGGACAGTTGTGAGCAATTAGGCTGGCAGGCAGGGGAGGGCATTTGTAGGTGATCGGGTCAGCAGGGAAGGGCAGTTGGAGGCGATCAGGCCAGCAGGGGAGCAGTTAGGCATCATCAGGTCGGCAGGGGAGCAGTTAGGGAGTGATCAGGCTAGCAGGCAGAAGCAGTTAGAGGCAATCAGGCAGGCAGGCAGGCGAGTGGTTAGGAGCTGGCAGTCCCGGATAGTGAGAGGGATAAACCAGCAGTCTGACATCCCCCGAGGGGTCCCAAATTAGAAAGGGTGCAGGTCGGGCTGAGGGACACCCCCCTACCCTGTGCACGAATTTCATGCACAAGGCCTCTAGTGTTTTATATGCTGATATTCACAAGATAGGTTAGCAGGCTATTACATTTATTTCCTTTAATTACAGATTAGCATTACAGAAAGAATATAGTCCAAATAAAAACACCTGTTATATAACTAGAAAACTACATTTCCTTTGGGATTACACCTCTAGTTGGCCAAAAAAAAATACTGAGATTCAGGCCAGCACTTGATTCTGACAGATATCGACAAATGAGACCATTAGATTTTTATTTCTGCCAGCAAAAAAAAAACACCCAACAATAAAAGAAAAAGATTACAGACTTAATGCAGTTAGGACAGAGTACCTTGGCGGCAAAGTAAATCCCTTTGTCAACATAAGTAGGTTTTAGTATGACTTCCTAATGGATATAGTCCTGAAGACAAGAGGAGCACTGACCATTTCTCTTGTCATTTATTTGATAGTAACGTTGCGTTTTGTATGGCGTGTTTAGAAGTAAGGTAAATGTGGGTGGCGAAAGGCTGGATGTAGAATTTATTCAATTTTTTAAAAAATGTAATAACCGTGGGTGGCAATCCTCCTCCGGAGAGGTTAGAGCCATGTAGCCCCTCCTGCGTGGAGATAACACTGCCTCCTGTTATTATAGATCCTATCGGGCACGTGACCCAGATATATTTTCCTCAGTGCTGTGAAGCTGGTCGGCTCCCACAGTTTCCGTGCCTGTCTTGTTTCTATGGTAACCCTGCACCCACTGTCCTTGCAGAGAAACCCTGAAGCAGGCAGCTGCTCAGAAGTCCCAGCAGCTTTCAGCACTGAAAGCGGAGAACGTGAAACTTGCCGAGGAGCTGGGGCGAAGCAGGGACGAAGTCACGAGTCATCAGAAGGTCAGTGGGCCTCGGGTGGGCGTCCCTGTCTCGGACTCGCCGATGCCTGCTGCTGCCGGCAGGGCGCTTAGAGGCAACTCCAGATGAGCTCCATGTGGCTGGGTCCTTCCTACTGGGATGTCACGCCGCCTGTGTTACGTGTCTCCGTGTTTCCGAGTGTGCTGTGCTGTGGGGCTTAGGGTAGGAGTCACTGACAGGTCCTTACACACAGCACACCAACACTGGGAACTTGCAAGCAACTAGAAATTAAGATCATTATTAGCTGATCTTATAGCAATGCGTTTACATGGACAGGACAGTATCTTCTTCCTACTACACTTTTAAAATGATTTTCTCTAAGATTTTGTTTTTTCTTTCATCAAAATTGGCTTTAAGAGAACAGATTCCAAGAATACGGTTTTGGTGTGATGCTTGGCAGCTGTTTCTAAATAGAACTCTGCTTCACTTTAAATTTTAAGACATTGAACAGACATTCCTATTGGAACCACGTGTATGTGTGCACTCCTGTGCATTGGTGTGCAGGAGGTGCGTTACACCCAGAACGAACACTGGCCACAGCCCGTTTGCTCCTGTATTTAAATCCCACAGGTTTCTGGCAAGTTTTTTAGACACTGAAACCAACCTGACTTTAAAGAATGCCATTTTCTGCTCTTTATTCTTTAGCAGCCAGATCCAAGTGCTCGGTTGTTAGTCACACCTCATGTCAGAGCCGAAGCTCAAAGAGGCATCGCGGAGGGAACATCACTGTGTAGTAACTCTGGCTCTGCCCGTCAAGGGGAAAAATTTTCCCAGCATGCTTTGCAAACATTCATTCTCATGGGGTGGAGTAGTTTGGGGTAAGTGTGTAGCGTATCTGCGGACATGGTGCAGTCTATGGCGATGTTGAGCTCAGACTTTTAAAGTCTTTGGAGAGCTCTAGCTGGTTTGGCTCAGTGGATAGAGCATCAGCCTGCGGACTGAAGGGTCCCAAGTTCGATTCCAGTCAAGGGCACATGCCCAGGTTGTGGGCTCGATCCCCAGTAGGGGGCATGCAGGAGGCAGCCAATCAATGATTCTCTCTCATCATTGATGTTTCTCTCTCTCTCTCTCTCTCTCTCTCTCTCTCTCTCTCTCCCTTCCTTTCTGAAATCAATAAAAAAATATTTTAAAAAAAGTCTTTGGAGAGTTGAACTCAGACTTTTAAAGTTTCCATTATAGCTTTCCACAAAAGGGATGCCGCATCTCTCCAGCTTCTGGGAGGACCACGGTGCTGTTGGCGATGGTCTCTCTCCTCTGTTGAGTCCTCCCATGTGACAGGCACAAATAAGTGACAGCTGTCATCTCACTCATCTGCACAGTGATGCTAGGAGTGGCACTGTCATGAACCCATTCGTAAGAGGGGAAACAGGAACACAGAGAAGATGGTAACTTGCTCAGCCTCGTTCAGCTAATGGTGTCAGGAGCCATTTGTCGTCTTCTGATTTGGGCCAGGACAGAATCGGAGCGGGCTGCTTACAGAGGGGGGTGTGCTCGCCTTCGATCGGTGCACGAGAAGCTGGCGTTCGTGAGAAGTAGGAACCCAGGAGAGGTTTTCTTCCCTGGTGCAGCCCCGGCGTCTGAAGCACTGGGTAGCTCTGAGGTCGGTGAGTCTGTGCAGATTGGCCAGGGAAGGCCCTCAGCTCAGTGCCGCGTCTGTTCCCATCTCCTTCATCTTCTGTTGAACTTGTCTGGGCAGGGGGAGGGGGGACCGGGTTCCGTAAGTGGGAGGAACACCCAGAGGTCATCCTCTCGTCTCATGTCCTGACCTTCGCAGGCCATTGATTACATTTCTGTGTCTGTCACCCAGATCCAGAGGGGACTCCGTAGGGGCCGTCGCAGTGCCTCGGGAGGCTTTCGGGGCTCCTCTCCCCCAGCTCTTCCTCTTCTGCATGTTGGGGTCTGACCTACCTTCCTTTCGAAAAGGTTTTGTGACTAAACATTTGAAAGTCAGTGACGTTGAAGGGTGTTAGGAAACAGCACCTGCAAAGGAGCAGCTAAGAAAATGACTTCCCTGTAAGGACTGAGGCTGCTATGCCCTTTGCCGTTTTCTAGGTTTTGCTCAGGAGAGACCAGGGGTGTGAGTAAAGCATCATAGGCTTCGATGCTCGAGGTTGTTAACAACATTGATCACCAAGAAGAGTACAGATACTCTTCCCTTGATATAGATCTGCAGTTTTACATATTGACGTGTGTGTGTGTGTGTACATATTTCAGAAGAGTGGCAAGAAGCACCCATTTAAAATACCTTCGAAGAAACCTTAGTCTAAAGAAGGCTGGTGCATTCACTGGCTTATTCCTCTGACTGTATGACCTCTGGGAACCTAGAGCACTTTTACTTATGTGAAATTACAAATTTTTACTCTCTTACGTTTCCAAACTATTGATCAACTATGTTCAGAAATATACTACAGAGCCAGTGTTTGGCAGAAACCCTATTTAAAAAAAAAAGACTTTTCAATGTAGTACTAATAAAAATATTTAGTGTTTCATTCTAAAAATTAATACAGTGAAGACTAGATTGACACGGGGTAGGATCTGAATTATCCTGGCTCCCTTACTTAGCGGCTCCAAAACTCACTGCACATCACGTGAGCGGACTACTGTGCACATTTCACAGAATCGTCACAGCACACCTCTGAGACAGTGGGTTACTTTGTATTCGAGGAAGCGGAGGCTCAAAAGTGAGGTCACTTGCGAAGGACATAAATTCACTGCTGTACCATTTTATAGTGTACAGTTCAGTGGCATGTAGTCCATTCACAGTGTTGTGCTGGTCCAGAACAGCTTCATCACCTCAAACGGAGACCCTGCCCCCGTGTAAGCAGTCACTCCCCATTCCTCTTCCAGCCCCTGGCAACACTAATCTCTTCTCCCTCCCCACTTGGTGAATTTTGTCTCTATGGATTTGATGATGATTTTTAATCCTCACCCAAGGATATTTTTTCCATTGATTTCTAGATCAAGTGGAAGGGGGAGAGGAGGGGGCGGAGAGAGAGAGAGAGAGAGAGAGAGAGAGAGAGAGAGAGAAACATCAATGTGAGAGAGAGACATCGATTGGTTGCCTCCCACTCACGCCTTGACTGGCCCTGGGGAACCTGCAACCAAGGCACGTGCCCTTGACCAGGAATTGAACCTGGAGCCCTTCGGGCTGAGGGCCGACGCCCTAACCACTGAGCCAAATCGGCCGGGGCTGCTTATTCTTGATATTTCCCATAAATGGCATCATACAGCATGTGTCTGTCTGTGTCTGGCTTCTCAGCATCGTGCTCTCGAGGTTCATGCAGGATGTGGAAGGTGTCAGTGCTTCGTTCCTTTTCGTGGCCGAATAGTATTTTATTGGGTGGACGGACCACATTTTGTCTGTCCCTTTGCTTCAGGTGTTTTATGTCTCCTTTCTCCATTCAGCTTGTCACCTGTCCCTCCTGATGTCTGCATGCTGCCTGTAGTTGCTACCACTAGTTTTCCATTCAGATCCCCCGTGGGCTGAGAAATCCCATTTCCTTGAAAGCAGTTCTAAATCTTGCTGTGCGGTTTCACACTTACAACCCCAATTCTTCCTTCTTTTCAAATTTTAAAAAAGAGTGTTCTGTTTTCTGCCTCTGTCTTCTACCTCCCCTCTTCCTCCCAGCCCCCTGCATGCTGCTCTTTGCATCGAGGTGACTCGTGCCTGAGTCATCGCTTACCAAGTGGTGCCACCGATCGTGCCTTCAATCCCTCTCTGAGCACCTGGCACCGCCACCTGCATTCTCAACGCTCCCCTCGTAACTTCTTCCGCTCCTTCCGCTCTTTTTTCGCTGCATCTCCTGCTGTACCTGGTCATCTCCATTCACGGCTCTGCCGTGACATCCCTTCTCCCTCCCCATGTGGTGAGCCTCTCCTCATTGTCAGAAGCCCACCCTAAAGTTCGTCGCCTCTCAGCTCAGAGCTCTCGGCTCCTTCTTTGTGTTCCTGTCACAGATGCCACTGTTGTCTTACGTGGAGCACTCAGAGCTCCATGTTGTGGTTGTTTCTACTCTTCTCTCCCCACACGGGCCGCGGGACAGCAGGAGTTGTGGAACCAGGCAGGAGTGGGATGAAATGAGTGTGTTGTGTTTAGCCAGGGCTTCATGTCCTGTCCTGTCTTTCAGGGGGTGTAGAGACATTGAGATGTCCTTGGACTTCCTCACACGTCCAGTCCAAAGCTTTGTTGCAGATAGTTGTGCTGCCAAAAGCCTGATCTTTTTTTAAAAAATTTCTTTTTATTGATTTCAGGAGGAAGGGAGAGGGGGAGAGAGAGATAGAAACATCAATGATGAGAGAGAATCATTGATCAGCTGCTTCCTGCACACCCCTACTGGGGATAGAGTGTGCAACCGGGCATGTGTCATGACTGGGAATTGAACTGTGACCTCCTGGTTCATAGATCGACACTCAAGCACTGAGCCACACTGGCCAGGCAAAAGCCCAATCTTTAACGGAGTGGGGCACTTGCTATGTGTGGACGGTGGAAGCACAGGGTGTGAATTCAGGGGGGTCACGTGGTCTCAGGAGGAATGGAGAGCATGCAGAGCATTCTTTCTTTTCATGGGGAATACTAAAAATAACCATCTTACTGTGAGTTCTGTTCCAATAGTCATCTTAGGCAGTCACTTCTGAAATGTCTGATTTATCATTCCCAACCCTCATACCTCTTTTCCTTTGTAAGGATTGCAGATGCACTCGGCTGTCACTATGGGAACTGTGCTGATTTCCCCTGGTTATTTGCAGAACGAGGTTACAGTTTGCCTGTGACAACTGGATAGGATTAGAGACTCAATACCAGTATTTCATCCACAGTTCTTGGTTATAGCATCTGGTGCATATAAAAAACATTACACGGGGTTATCATCTAAACTGAGTCACGAATGGGCTCTGGCCGGCAGCTCAGTTGGTTAGAATGTCATCCCAATATGCCGAGGTTGCAGGTTCAAACCCCAGTCAGGGCACATACAAGAATCAACCAATGAATGCATCAGTAAGATCGATGTTTCTGTCTCTCTTTTCCCCTCTCTGTCTCTCTCTGTCTCTCTCTCTCTCTTTCAAATTAATAAATAAGAATTTAAAAATAAATAAATAAGTTGATGCATTAGTTGATTGCCTGCCTCTTAAACAAACCTGAATTACCAAACATGAATGCTTGGGAAGGGAATGCTATTTTTAGTTTGCCATGTTTTATTTTGGAGAAATGGTGATCATCAACCATCACAATTTTCATGTGGGCTCAGGGATTTCTGGGCAAGTGGGGCTGAGTGAAGCTGGACCACAGAATCTCTGTCTCTCTTTTTTTTAAAATATAACTTTTTAAAAAATATATATATATTATATTGATTAGAAACATCGATGAGAGAGAAACATCGATCAGCTGCCTCCTGCACATCTCCCACTGGGGATGTGCCCGCAACCTAGGTACATGCCCTTGACCGGAATCGAACCTGGGACCTTTCAGTCCGCAGGCTGATGCTCTATCCACTGAGCCAAACTGGTTAGGGCTTAAATATAACTTTTAAATTAATTTTTATTCATTTCAGAGAGGAAGGGAGAAGGAGAGAGAGCTAGAAACATCAGTGATGAGAGAGAATCATTGACTGGCTGCCTCTGCACACCCCCTACTGGGGATCGAGCCTGAAACCCGGGCATGTGCCCTGATCAGGAATGGAACCCTGACCTCCTGGTTCATAAGTTGATGCTCAACCACTGACCCATACTGGCTGAGATCGTCACTCTTCTTTACACCAGAGGGTTCCCTCTGTCTTTCTTTCTGTTTATGACTTGATTCTTTAGAAACCTTTGTATTTTATAGGCAAGAAACGAAGGCTTGAGATAGAGCAAGCATAAAACAAGGCCCACAGAGAGCAGATGACCTGTTCCTTCCCTCCCTGAGTCGGTGACATTCAGCCTCTGTTGTTTCAGGAAAGGAACCAGAATGTTCATGACATTTTCACTCATCCGTTAACATTTATTGAATGTCTGAGGCAGCGATGGCGAACCTTTTGAGCTCGGCGTGTCAGCGTTTTGAAAAACCCTAATTTAACTCTGGTGCCGTGTCACATATAGAAATTTTTTGATATTTGCAACCATAGTAAAACAAAGACTTATATTTTTGATATTTATTTTATATATTTAAATGCCATTTAACAAAGAAAAATCAACCAAAAAAATGGAGTTCGAGCGTCACCTCTGACACGTGTGTCATAGGTTCGCCATCACTGGTCTAAGGTTTATGCCCCTTTACTGTTCAGATGTTGTTTAATACTTTGTTTTGTTTTGTAAATCCTCACTCGAGGATATTTTTTTCCATCAATTTTCTTTGAGTGAGTGGAAGGGAAGGAGGGAGGGGGAAAGAGAGAGAAACATTGATGAGAGAGAGACACTCCATCGGTTGCCTGTCGCATGCACTCCAACCCGGGCAGGGATCCTGCAACCCAGGTATGTGCCCTTGACCACTGAGCAAACCAGCTGTTGATTAATAGTTTTAATTCTCGAGTCCGTGAGGAAAGGGAGTCAGTCAGGTCATACATGGTTTATAAACAAATAGCTGTACATCCTGTGATATGGTGCCAGCTGCTCTCACTGCCTGGGGCCTGGGAATGGAACCCGGGGCATGAGAACTAGGCCTCCCTGCTGGCTCGTTAGGAACTGAACTTCCATGTATGTGCTTTTTTCCAGGTGGAAGAGGAGAGATCTGTGCTCAACAATCAGTTGTTAGAAATGAAAAAGAGGTAGGTCTTCTTTTTCTGTTTATCATTGGCATGTGTGTGAGTGTGCGAGTTTAATAAGGAAAACGTTAGAAGGTGATGTGTGCGGTGACGTATAGAAAGTGTGCGACCTTCTCATTCAGAAAATTGCATCCTGATAGCTCAGTACTCACCATTGACAAATGATGAAAACTCATTTGCCAAAGTCTCAGTCTTCATTCCTAGAACAAAGAACAGCTGCAGTTGAAGTCACGTTCAGTTGCATTTGTTTGGAAGTTTTCTAAAAGCAGATTGTCTCGTATGATACTGCTGCTCCCTCCTAGTTTCAGTAACTAGAAAATGCTATCACTTTACAGGGAGTAATTGATCGGCCTATAAACACTGATTTCCATGATGTAAAAATTTTAATTTTTCAATAATAACGGGTAACATAATTATAAATGTTTCCATGTATTTTCAGAAAAAAGAGCTTTGTCATTTTATTCATGATAATCACACAGTATTCAAGTGAAAGCCTTCCAGTCCTTTTGAGTAAGGATACACAGGCCCACAGAAATAGTCATTTAGAAGCTTAGTGCTTTTATGCATCCTGACAGCCTGTCTGCTCTTTTAAAATGTGCAGTTTGTGTCTAGAGAAATTAAAAAAAAATGAAATAAAGTAGAAAAACAAGAATTCTCCATGTTCTTGCAAAGTATTCTCTTACTTGTCAGGGCCGAGGGGCTCCCCTGCCCAGGCAGCTGCCCATGGGTGCTATTTACACTGCAGTGCCCCTCCTGCCCGCTCCGCAAACCTGCTGAGGGATTGAGGGCTGCACTTCGCCCATAAGATATCTGAGTTCCATAAGCTACATCCTAAAGGATGTTGGGCCTTGGTCCAGGGGTGCCATTCGTCCTTTCCTTCTCTAATTAGATTCATTCTTTGTTAAAGTTTCACACCAGAATGCACGTGTTTCGGCACCGCCACGCCCCTGGCCCCGCCGGGTGTCCTCCAGGTGACCATGCGTGAGCATGGTGACCAGGCTGACCTACCTTAGCCCAGCTTCTGCGTGCAGGCACAGCCCCGCCCATGTGGGCCTCAGGTGTTTATTTTTACATCCACAAGGCTTTGTTTCTTTAAAAAGAACTTTGTGGGGGAGATCTGTAATACTCTCAGCCATAAAGATAAATTTTAAAAAAGAAGCAGCAGCAGCAGCTCATGTCCGCAGTTATCTAGGTCAGGTGAAAAAGTTCATAGGGCTCTTCCTGTGACATCCTGGCCAGCGGACAAATAAAAGCGGGCTGATGTAAGCCCTGGCATGTCCCCTTGCATTGACGTAGCAGTTGGTAATTCTCAAGTCTGTAATCTCAGAACAACCCACTGAAGTATATGGTGAGGCGTGCATTTAAAAATGATGAAACCTCAACAGCAAAGATAAACTAAAAAAAAAAAAAAAAGGATGAAGTGCCAGCCTGAAGAGTCAGGCACCTTGGCCAAGAGCTCAGATGCAGGTGTAAGACACAGATCCTCAGATTTTTATTCTGGTTCTTGTCTCACTGTACACGTACTATTATTCATTTTTAAAAGAAAGATGCTGTGCTTTGTCCGTCCATACCACATGTCTTTCAAAATGTGATTGGGGCCCTAGCTGGTTTGGCTCAGTGGATAGAGTGTCGGCCTGTGGTTCAATTCTGGTCAAGGGCACATGCCTGGGTTGTGGGCTTGGTTGTGGTGCATTCAGGAGGCAGCCAATCAATGATTCTCTCTCATCATTGATGTTTCTATCTCTCTCTCTCCCTTCCTCTCTGAAATCAATAAAAAATATATTTTTTTTAAAATGTGATTGGGCGTTGACTTTTTTCGTGGCTTCAAAAGGTGGAACATCCCTATCTTCCTATTTCACCATCTCTGCTCCTGTTTTCAGTGCTGGATATGTTTAGGAGAAAGTCTCTTAAAAATCACTCTTGTTATCAGTAAATGCAGATAAAAATGATAATTTTTCTGGGAGTGAAAAAAATATGAAATCTATGTTTTCATATTTACAACTATTTTTTTAAAATATATTTTTTATTGATTTCAGTGAGGAAAAGAAAGAGGGAGAGAGAAAACACCAATGATGAGAAAGAATCATTGATCGGCTGCTTCCTGCACGCCCCCTACTGGGGATCTAGCCCGCAACCCAGGCATGTGCCCTGACCAGAAATTGAACTGTGACCTCTGGTTCATAGGTAGAGGCTCAACCACTGAGCCATACCGGCCGGGCTACACCTTTTTTTCCTCTCTCTCTCTCTCTCTCTCTTTTTTTTTTTGTTAAATTGTTTATTAACCCTCATGGAAAGTTATGTCTGTTTCAGAAATCTGAAAGCAAGTATATATTTGAGCTAATAATTTGAACCCCTAAACACCTTCTAAAGTCAGTTTGATAAAGGATTTGTATATAGGTCTATGTGTATCATAGTCAAGTAAATTTAGCATAGAGTACTAAAAAGAATTTGATCTGCTCTTACTTCAAAAGTCTGGAAAGTACTTAAATCATAAAGTTATTTGAGTTGTAGTTGTTGAAACAAAAATAGAGATCTTAGTCGACAGTTTAATTTGGAAGTGACCATTGAATAGACATAAGCAAGCATAGACTTGCCTTCATTACACTGAAGTCATTGTATTGAAGTGCAGTACTTACTCCTGACTGTAGGATGAAGCTGCTTTTCGTGAAGAAATTAGTAACAAAAAGGGGACATCTGTAATACTTTCAATAATAAAGATAAATTTTTAAAAAAGAAAGTAGTAACATCCTTCTGTATTGCCACAGTTTTTTGGTATCTAAACATTGAATTGCAAGCAATATGTAGTCAAGATTTTCCTCTAAAGAATGTAATCATTGCCCAGCCAGTGTGGCTCAGTGGTTGAGCATCAACCTATAAACCAGGAGGTCATGGTTCAATTCTCAGTCAGGGAACATGCCCAGGTTGTGGGCTTCATCCCCAGTGGCGGGGAGGGGGCGGTGTGTAGGAGGCAGCTAGCTGATCAATGATTCTCATCATTGATGTTTCTCCCTCTACCCTTCCTCTCTGAAATCAATAAAAATATATATAAATATCTTTTAAAAATGTAATTATTTCTTTGGAAAACTGGTTTCCACGTTAGGCAGACCTCCTTCAAAACAGGTTCCAAGATGTCTGAGAGAGATGGCAGAGCCGAACTTGACTTGCCGTAACTGACCGAGTGGGGAGGTGGGTCTTCTGACCCCTGAGGTCTGCAAGCAGATGGGAGAACTTGTTTGGCTTCCCTCCCTCCCTCCAGGCTTTTTGATGTCAAAGAAGGGACTTGAGAGCCAAAATCTTAGACGTGGACTTGTTGGAGGCAGAATTAATTCTGTTAGTGTAAATGACAGATTGCCGTCAGGGCTGGAAACCGGTCGACAGTTCCCTCGACAAATTCTGCAGAGTCCTGTGCTGCTCACTGTGGGTGGCTGACTGTCTGACTGTCTCCGAGCTGTCGCTGCTTACAATGCTCACTTCACTCCTCTCTCTTCCCTTCCTACTCTTGCTTCCTTTGCTATATCTGTGTGTCTTTCATGGTAAGACTAAAGAAAGTCTATCCACATTATAATAAATAAATTTCATATATTTTTAGTAAACCAAATGGTCGTATATATATTTTTGGCTGCCTTTGTCCCTCTGTGTCTTGCTTTTGTTTTGTAAAATATTCTCAGCAGTATATGCACACACACTCACACACACATTATCTTTTTTTTTTAAAGCAAAGAATTGCAGTGCAAACTTTTCCTGACTGATTTGCATTTCTCTTCATGTTTCTAATATTTGGTTCTTGTTATCTTGCATTTTTAAAGCTTGCCCAGTTACACGTTAAGGTATTTGCTTTACTGCTAGAATTTATTTCTTGTGCAAGTAGTAAGGAAAGAATCTGGCTAGTATGTTCCCTTGGAGGAAAGATTTCGGGCCCCTCTGGCCCTTCCTTCGTATTCTGCTTATCTTCCCTATTTGACATTTGAGTAACACCAAGTCATCCCAGTCAGCATGGCTTGAGGGAACACGGGCCCGCCTGCCGGTGTGATTTGTGATGCAGAGGTCAGTGATGCTGGCTAAATGGTTTAACTCAGCCTCTCTCGGTCTGCACAGTGGGGTTGGGGCTTCGAAATAGTGAAGGAAGCCAGCAGTGAGGATCTGCCCCAACGATGAGCTGCTAACAGCTGTTTGTCCTGCCATTTGTCACAAGTTCGGTCCCTTCCTCAACCATGAATCTTTTGATAACTGTACAAGGAGCAAGCGTTCTGCTTGCCCTCTCCTTCTAAAGCGGCCTTGCTCAGAGGCTGTGTGTATGTGAGGATGAGCAGATCAAGATACTGTGCCTTCCTCCTCCCACCGGCTGGTGGGCCCCAACACCAAGAATCGGTGACGTCTTTGCTAACTAGAGTTCCTATGATGGAAGAATCCAAGTCTGCTCAGTAATCGCCAAATCCTCTTTTTTTTTTTTTTTTTTTTAAAAAACATTTCAAATGATGTTCAGATTTGAGTTGGTTTTCTAACAAGTGACGCTCTGGAAATAGGTGTTACTATAGAGTAAACCACCAAGTCAGTTTGCTAGAGGCCTAAGGAGTCTGAGCTTTATTGAATCTTTGGATCGTGTCAGATACTTACTTTCCAGGGGGAAGGAGGGTTCGTACGTTCCTCCCGTTAAAATCGTTGTTTTGTTTTAATCCGAGCAAGATCCTATTTCCTAGCAAGGTGCCCCTCAGTAATTCAGCGTCACCGCTGCTCACCCCGTTTCAGTGTACAGATAGTGCTCGGATATTGAATTCCAGGAATGTTTGTAAGTCTCAAATTCTTTTCTTACTACTTATCATTCCGGGGTATGAGTGTCAGCCACACAATGAGATCAATACACTTAATATTTTATCTTTGTGTAGAATCTACCATAAATCATGAGAATTCTGTAATTCGTGTGCCGGATATCTTGGGTCTCACTAACCAGACATGTACATTCTTCCATTTCTAACCTGGGCCTCAGCTTTCAGTCCTTCCCGTTGGCTCTGAAACAGACCGAACCACGACACGCTCCACACTCACCCAGTTACTTCCCAGCGGAACCGGGAGTAACTTGGCCTGTTGCCTAAGTTATGAGTTCTCACTGAGGATTAGCTCCATGAGTGATGTGTCCACCGGCCTGAGGGCTAGCTAGGAAAAATTCTCTCCAGTTTTGTCTTTTTCCAAACTATTATTGTGATTCCAGGTCTTTTTCCTCATTTCACACTGCATATAATTTAAAAAATTTTTTTTAAAAAAAATTAAAACTAGAGTTTCACAGAAGAGTTGCCAGGGTCGTTCCGAGTACTCCCACGTGCGCCCCCCCATCCAGTCCCTTCACGTGGACATGGTCCATCCCCTGGTACATTGACCAAAACCTAGAAAGTGACATGCACACACTCTCAGCTAGACCCCTGACCTTACTCAGATCCCCCAGCCTTTCCACGAACGTCCTTTTTCTCCTCCAGGGTCCAGCCTACACATCACACCGCATCCAGTTGTCACCAAGGGGTTAGTTTCTCCCAATCTGTGACCGTGCTCAGTCTGACCTCCTCCCTGGTGACTGTGACCGTGGCACTCTCAGTTTCTCCCAATCTGTGACCGTGCTCAGTCTGACCTCCCTGGTGACTGTGACCGTGGCACTCTCGAATGCATGTAATTTCTCAACAAAAATCTAAATGTGCACACACACAAACACATAGTAGCCGGCCCTTCTGGGTTGTGTCTATTGTGTCTTGCCCCCTCCCTCCTGGTCTTCCCTTCATCGTTCCCTTTCTTTTCCCACACCCTCCACGACAGGTGTTTCCCTTACTTCCCAGGCCTGGTCCCCCCTCCGCTGATCGCAGCCGAGTCAGGCTGAGGACAGTAACCCAGTGCTGGCCCTTCCTCCCGATGTCGCCACGTGTGCATTCTATCCCCGGAGCTCCACTTTAACATGTCTGCTCTGGCCTTTATGTAATTACCTGTCATTTCTACGAGCAATTTAATGTCCTCTTCAGGTTCCACGGAGGAAGAGGAAGACTCCTGCAGCCCGAATAGTAGTGGTACTATTTGCTACTGTTTGGCCCATTAGGTCTCAAAAACTCATTCCTGGAACTTGCTACAAGTTACTGAAATTAGTGAGAACCAACCGATACTTCCAGCATAAAACTGCTCTGCATGACCTTGTATAATCGCTTTGCATGTGTGTATTTTAATTGTTGGTATTGCTTGGTAGTAGTTTATTCAAGAAATAATCGAATTCAGCTGGGGTTCGATATTTAGAAGAATTCTTCGGGGGTGCAAGTCTTTTTTTTTTGTTTTTGTTTTTATAATCGTAAGTCTTCCAAAGTTACTGTTTCTTTAAACTCAAATGGATACAATGATAGGCAGATTCAAGCATGTCTGTGCATAGTGAACTTTTCCTCCCCTCACAGTAAGTAAAATTTGGAAGCATAATAGCCTTCTCCCTCTACAAACCCCCTGGGATGCACTTTTTCTTTACATTAACTCGGGTTAATTGTGTGTGTGTTCTAGGACAGTCATACACTGATCACTCTCTCAGCTGATTTCTGGAATTTTTAACTCTTTGGTCTTTTAGAGAATCCCAGTTGATAAAAGACGCAGATGAGGAAAAAGCCTCCTTGCAGAAGTCCATCAGCATCACTAGTGCCTTACTCACGGAGAAGGATGCCGAGCTGGAGAAGCTGAGGAACGAGGTAGAGTACCTTCCAGGGCGAACGTTCACGCCGCCCCGTTCTGTTCCCACGCCTAAGCCGCGCGCTGTGTTGCAGGTCACGGTGCTCAGGGGAGAAAACGCCTCTGCCAAGTCCTTGCATTCAGTTGTCCAGTCTCTTGAGTCTGACAAGGTGAAGCTCGAGCTCAAGGTAAAGAACTTGGAGCTTCAACTCAAGGAAAACAAGAGGCAGCTCAGCAGCTCCTCAGGTAAAATGATGACCGGGGTGCCTCTCCCCCACCCCACTGCTCCCTGCAAAGGAGCCGTTTCTGGGCCAGATGCACTGCTCCCCGACGTGGCCCTTTCCTCCTTGGCTCTCCCACCCTTTAGTCAGACGAGGGCTCGGCATCACCCAGGCCCCATGCGAAGGGGCGTGCCTGGTGTCCCCACTGCTGGGCCTTCCCCCCGGTCTTGAGTGTGGGTAGAAGCATAAGCTGGTAGATGCTGGCTGCCATCCCAGTACAGCGTGGGTTCTGAAGGTACACAGTGAGGGAGAGCAGAGATGGTCCCTCGCTCCTCTAAATTCAGGTGGATGTGATGGCCATTCTTGCCCAGCAGTGAGCCAGCCCAAGAGAGAACGCTGGAGGAGTGGGGCCAGCGCCGGCGCAGGTCCCTCAGGGGTCCGGCTACGGGACAGGAACTCATGAGTGTGTACTGAGAGACGCATCTGGGAATTCCACAGAGAATGATTTTCAGTGCAATCACAAGGAAAAAAGATTGTGGTTTTTTAAACATCCCCCTCCATTTATTTATTTTTTTTATATAAGGTAATACTGATACTCAGGCGGAAGAGGACGAAAGAGCCCAGGAGAGTCAGGTACTGCTCCTTCCTTCCTTTAGTTTGCTTACCTGCTATTTTAAAAAAGCATTTAATCTTTTGAACAGGTAGTGCATTCATATGATCTAAACATTAAGCAATATTAAAAATATGTTCAGCAACACATCTCCCTCCAAACCTTTCTCTCTGGTCAGTTCCCAGCTCTCCAATCAGGTAACCACCCAATTGGTGTCTTTAAAAAAGTCTTTTCAGGGATTTAAAAAAATGTAAATATAAGCCAAGACTAATACAGTCTTTTTTCTTTCCCTTTTAACGTACATGGTGGCATATTACGTAAACTGATCTGTACTTCCTTTCTTTCTTCTTTTTCTTTTTTTTTTTTTCGCAGAACCTTGCCCCACAATGCTGAGCCTAGCCCCTAAGCAATACCTATTCTCCCAGCAGGCCCAAGGAAGCCAGCCTCAGTGTGTCAGAGTGATTTCCACAGGCACCTCTCCCTCAAGTCAGCAGCCCTTTTTACCTCTGATTGCCAGGCTGTGTATGCTCACTTAAGGGTCCTTTCCTGGAGGCAATCGTGTAGAGACCCGGGCTTCCCCATGACCCAGGTCAATTTGATTTTAACGGACCAGCCTGGAATACCCAGCCAAGGCCTAATAGCCCAATCTGGTCCCAAAGGGCTGACCCTAGTTCCGAAGAGCCAGCCTAGACCCTAAGACCCCAACCTAATCCTGAATAGCCAAAGACAGTCCCAGAGGGCGGAGCCTAGCTCCAAAGAGCCAAAGCTCGGTCCCGAAGGGAAGGGAGGCGTCTAGCCCTGAAGAGCTGAGCCCAGACTAGAACAGCTGTAGCCAGTCCCGAAGAGCAGAACCTCACCCCGAAGAGCCTAGCCCAGCCTGGAAGAGCCCAGCCTCGCCCCTAAGCAATACCTACTCTTCCAGCAGGCCCCAGGGAGCCAGCCTCAGTGTGTCAGAGTGACTTCCACAGACACCTCTCCCTGGAGAGTCACGAGCCCTTTCAACCTCTGTACCTCCCTTTTATAGCTGTTTAGTGTTCCGTTATATGGATGAACTTAATGGAATTGGTTCTGTCTGTTGGCATGCCATTTGGGAGGTTTCTGATCTTCTAAGTGTATTGTAAACAATGCGGAAATGAATTGTCTTGGACATCTACCATTTTTCAGACATACTAGTATTTCTTTGGGGTAAATTTTAGAAGTAGAATTGCTCTGTCAAAAAGTTCCTGGCTTATCTCTACCTTACAAAGACAGGGTTCTCGAAAAATGTTTCCAAAATTAACAAAACAGCCTTAATTTTAAATGTGGGATTATATGGAAACAAAGTATTCTCTATTTGGAAATATAATGAGACATAGACAATAAGCATCCATCTTCAGTTTTAATAATATATTTTAATAATATATCTTGGGGTATATTTATCCTGCGCAAAAATCACAGGAACAAAAGCCATCTTTCATTTTTAAATAAAAGCTCAGGGAGTTTTGATTTGTCTGAAAGGATTCAGCAAACTACTAACTTACCCCCTTTAGCATTGTCTGCTTAGTGTGTATGTGTAATAAACATCCACTTTAATTAACAGTGTTTTCTCTTTCTCCCCCTTTCCTTTCTGCTTCCATTTGTTTCATCTGCTGCTGCCAACATTTTCTTCCAACCAGCAAATGGTTTGTTTTATGTTTCCTAATTTGCGAGCACGTGTGTGTGTGTGTGTGTGTGTGTGTATGTTTCCCCACTGTACTAAATCCATGTTGTGCTGTTTTCTTCTTCCCGAAACAGAGCTCCTAATATGATAAAGTCTTAGAAAATGCAGTTTAAGAAGCGAGGATAGATTCAATGGGTCTGCCTCCGGTGTTGGCAGGGATGTTCTCCAGAGAACCACAAAGCTACTGATTGCCAGCTTCACTTCATAACATGCCCCAGCAAGAGAAAGAGGACAACTAGTTCTTTAAAAATTGAATTACCTGTGTATGTGTATACACTCACTCACATTTTTAAAATTATAAAGTGAGATTTTTCTCATCAGCTATTTAGAATATATGAGAGCTTTTTATTATTTGTAGGAGAGGGAAGAAACTTCTTGTTTTTCAAGGAAAGTGCCCTTGGTTTGAAAGCAAATGTTAGGACAAGGGTGCTTCCTCCTGATGATCATCTCGTTATTCCACTGCCCAGTGAATCCTGGCACAGTTGCTTTTCCCAATTGGGGTACCTGAGCGCCACCCTGTTCCTGAGCATGTGCCAAAGGGTCTCCTCGGTGGAAATGGAGCTTGAGCCTTCTCTTTAAAACTTCTCCATTTTTCTCTGAAGTCTCATTTACCATCATCCCACCACAACCCATCAGGGAGCCTGGTGTGAGGAGGATGTCCCTGTACTTTTTCAAAAGATGATACGTTGTGGATTGGTTCTACAGTGCCATGAGACAACTCTCTTGTTATGCTTTTTGTGAAGTGTTGTGTGTGTGTGTGTGTATCAATATATAAAGCATACGCATAGGTTCAGTAACAGCCACCGCTGGCCCCTCTGTGATGTCCAGCACACTCACAGCCATGACATGAGTCTACGTCCGTGACTTCTTGATAGGCAGTCCACTGGACACATTTCAGACATTTTATACATGTTTCTTTTCTTTTCCCTGAACAAATTAGATTGACTTCCTAAATTCAGTAATAGTGGACCTTCAGAGGAAGAATCAAGACCTCAAGCTGAAGGTGGAAATGATGTCAGAAGCGGCCCTTAATGGGAATGGCGATGACCTAAACAATTATGACAGGTATTTCATATGAGACAGTACTGTTCAGTTCCATCTAAATAAACGGTGCTTTTAAAGTTAGGTTCCTCAGTGGGTTGGAGAGACAGTTGCCCTGTGGCTGATTGGCCATGAATCCATCCCATCACTCTGGCAAGACAGTGATACATATACACTAGAAATGGCTTTAATGTAAACATTTTATTTATTTACTTTTTAAATTTTTAAAAATATATTTTTATTGATTTTTAGAGAGAGAGGAAGGGAGAGGGATAGAAAGATAGAAACACAGAGGGGAAAAAATAACATGGGAGATTAAATATGGCGGTGGAGTAAGTAGATGCTGCAAGGACACGCTCCCAGGACCAAACTGGAATTGCACCTAAAATACAGAAAAAGTTCCTGAATAATCAATGGGAGACTCACTGGAGAGAACCAGTGGGGTGGTGGGGGTGGCCTGAGGGGGTTAATGGGGGGAAAAGGGGACATATGTAATATTTTCAACAACAAAGAATTATTGAAGAAAAAGAAACATTGATGAGAGAAACAACATCAGTTGGCTGCCTCCTGCACACCCCCTACTGGGGATGGAGCTGGAACCCCGGGCATGTGCCCTGATCCAGAATTGAACCAGTGGCTTCCTGGTTCATGGGGGTCGACCCTCACCCACTGAGCCACACCAGCAGGGCTGATGTGAACATTTTATTGTATTTTTTTAAGTATATTTTTATTGGTTTCAGAGAGAAAGGGAGAGGGGAAGAGAGAGAGAAACATCAGTGATGAGAGAGAATCATTGATTGGCTGCCTCCTGCACACGCCACATTGGGGAGTGAGCCCACAACCAGGGCATGTCCTGACTGGGAATGGAACCATGACCTCCTGGTTCCTAGGTCGACACTCAACCACTGAGCCACACCTGCCAGCCTGATGTGAGCATTTTAAATAGGGATTGCAGTAGTTACACTTGAGGTTTGCAGACTTGGCCGTAACTCTTGCTTGTTTTTTATCCTTTACTAGTGGTAGAGATGAGTTTCTGTTTTCATTATTAAGTCTGTTGGGGTGACATTGGTTAATATGTGAGTTTCTGATCGTACACATGAACCTTTGCAGTGACGACCAGGAGAAACAGTCCAAGAAGAAACCTCGCCTCTTCTGTGACATATGTGACTGCTTCGATCTCCACGACACAGAGGACTGTCCCACCCAGGCGCAAATGTCGGAGGACCCCCCTCACTCCACACACCACGGCAGTCGGAGCGAGGAGCGCCCGTACTGTGAGATCTGTGAGATGTTCGGGCACTGGGCAACCAACTGCAACGACGACGAGACCTTCTGACGAAGCCTCACATCCGGGACTGGGCTTTCTCGGACGCACCAGCATCGGGGCAACCGAACACCAGCATTATGTGTGCAGACTTCTGGACAACTCACGTTATTTTTGACCCCCACCAACAAATCTAAGAAAATATTTTGAACTTCAACAAATCGCCCTTTTAGTTTCCCCGTATACGTTAGAATAATAAATACTTAAGAGGTGAGTTTTCACCTCTTATTTTTGGCGTCTTGATTTTTAAGTTCCAACAGGACGTTGCACCAGAGGTCGTTACATAGATTGTCCCGAGGGAAACCTCCAAGAACAATCCCTACCCTCCAGTACCTTATTTAAGTAACTTTAAATTATGCCATTCTCATATTTGCACTAAAATCTTCCCAGGCTGCGTTTTTGTATAGTGAGATGTTTTGGTTAAGCTTTGACACTGGAATGAGTTGAAAAAAAATGTGCCATTTTGCATTTTCATCTACTCATATAGAGCATTTTATTTTTAGTCGAAGAAATAACAGATCTTTGCACTACCTGATGTCAGTAGTGCCTTTACTTCAGGCTTGGTAACACTTAGGTGTGATGATAAATCATGAAACAGGTAAAGGGAGGGGGGAGCCCCCAAACTGCTGTGGGACGTTTTATAATCGATATGCTGCACCCACTTACTCTACTGTGGCGCTTTGTTTATTGGTTTTGCATAATTTCAGCTATATATTGTATGTATATATTTTTTAAAAATCTCTATTTTGGGAAAAAGGATTCACAATTGTGTCTTTCTTTTCAGATTTTTACCTTTATGAAAAAGAAAACACTTAGAATGTTTATCAGGATGTAATGGGCTAGGCCAGAAATAGCATCACACAGCTTTGGAGCTATTTTTTATTTTTGTTTTCATTTTGTTTCTTTATCAGATCTAAATAAATACAATATTTTTCCTTCTCTAGCAGATATCCCCAGCAGTCGATTAATTAGATAATAAGCTGCTATACAACACTTACATTAACCAATCTACAATCTTTACAAGTTGTATTTACTGTCTTTTTAGATGAATGTATGATGAGAAATTCAATATTAATAATTTTGGATTTTCTTATCACAAAAAATTAAATGAAGGACCTCAGCCACCAGAAGTTTATCAACCAGTTTTATTAAACTATTTATCTTGTTTTGAATTGAATGTCTTCTAGAAGATGTAAAAAGTAATAAATAAATGTATCTCCATGCTACATGTATAATAAGAACTTCTATAATTGTACATATGCCTTTGATGTATTTTCCCCTCAAGATTATTAATTGTATTTGACAAGTGAAAAACCTGTAATCAATTGAAATTTCTGGTTATAAACATAATAGGAATTGTTTCACAAACAATATGTAAAGCAGTATTAAAATTTGAGCAAAAAAATGTTCTGTACCTACTTTATTTTAGTTAAAAAATACCATTCTTTTTTTAAAAAAAAATTATTGTTGAAAGTATTACATACTAGTATGTTCCCCTTCTTCCCCCATTGACCCCCTCCAGCTCGCCCCCACCTCCACCCTTCACCTCCCCATTGTCTGTGTCCATGGGCCATGCATATAAAGTCCTTAGTTGATTACCTCCCACTCACTCATCCTCCTCCTCCCTCCTTGCTCTCCCCCTTACCTTCCCTCCGAGATTCTGCACTCTGTTCCATGCTTCCATGTTTCTGGATCCACTCTGTTCATCAGTTTATTTTGTTAGTTAGATTCCACATATGAGTGAGATCATGTGATTCTTGTCTTTCTCTGACTGATTTCACTTAGCATGATGCTCTCCAGGTCCCTCCATGCTGTCTCAAAGGGTAAGAGATTCTTCTTTCTTACTGCTGCACAGTATTCCATGGCATAAATGTACCACAGCTCATCTACTGATGAGCACTTGGGCTGTTTCCAGATCTCAGCTATTGTAAATTGTGCTGCTGTGAACATAGGGGTGCATATATCCTTTCTGATTGGTGTTTCGGGTTTCTTAGGATATATTCCTAGAAGTGAGATCACTGGGTCAAATGAAAGTTCCATATTTAATTTTTCGAGGAAACGCCATGCTGTTTTCCATAATGGTTACACACCAGTCTGCATTCCCACCAGCAGTGTACTAGGATTCCCTTTTCTCCACATGCTGGCCAGCACTTGTCATTTGTGGATTTGTTGTAGTAGCCATTCTGACAGGTGTGAGATGATACCTCATCGTTTTAATTTGCATCTCTCTGATGATCAGTGACTGAGCATTTTTTCATATGTCTCTTGGCCATCTGTATATCCACTTTGTGAAGCATCTATTTTAAATAGATATAATAAAAGCATGATATGCTAATTAGACCAGACAGCTAAAGATCTGGACGTCATTCTGGATGTCCTGGACGAAGCTGCATATTCACCATCCAGTGCACAGTACTATATCTGACATATATTAGGTGATAGATACATAGTAATCAATTTTTATTGTTTTGTGTTTATGTCTGCCCTTTCACAGAAGAGTAAGTTTTTAAAGTTTTTCATTTCCCAACACAAAATAAAATTTGTTCAATCACATGTCAGGGTGGGGCAAAAGTAGTGTTACAGTCATTCATATGAAAAATAAAATAATAATAAGTAATACAAAGATAAAATCTGTTTTGCATACTCACAACTATAAAACTACTTGTAGATAGATATGCATATATATACATATATATGTACATATATATATAAATGATTTCAGAGGGAGAGAGAAACATCAATGATGAGAGAGAATCATTGATTGGCTGCTTCCTGTATGCCCCCTACTGGTGATTGAGCCCACAACCTGGCATGTGCCCTTGATGGGAATCGAACCAAGGACCCTTCAGTCCACAGGCCAATAGTATCCACTGAGCCAAACCAGCTAGGGCTATATCTACTTTAACAAATGGTTATTCTTTTTGCCCAGTGGTACTAACTGATATTTTCAGTTTCATTTATCATAATGTTTTTTCATCAAATGAGCAAGCACTATAGATCCAGATAGCAATTTTTACTGCAGTCTTGCTGATAAACAGCTTTAAGAACTTGGTATATTCTTTTTTAAAATGTTTTTATTGATTTGAGAGAGAAAAACATCTATCCGAGGAAGAAACATCGATTGATTGCCTCCCATAGGCACCCCAACGGTGACTGAACCTGCTACCTGGGCATGTGCCCTTGACCAGGAAGTGAACCGGTGACCGTGGGTGCGCAGGACCGAGGGCCGACGCTCTGACCACTGCACCACCGGCCAGGACCTGATAAGCTTTTGTATGTGAATGACGTGCTCCTATGATTCCCACAACTGATGCGAATTTTACTGATGAAGCAAGTGCCGGGACCTGGATTCTACATCGGATAGTATTTCCTAAGAAAAAGTCTACTAAGAAGAGCCAAACAGACAAGTCCCTCAGGTTCCTTCGGACCCTGGCCATTTTTCTAAACTTTAGCCCAGAAACCAAAAGAGCAAAGAGTTTAATCGCTCTGGTTGAAAACATTCCCATTCACGTTTAGCTTCAAATTACCGTTTTACAGCGAGTATGCTCGCTGCTAAGATGAAAGTGGCGATTTTTAACACTTCCAGTGGTTCTCAACCTTCTGGCCCTTTAAATACAGTTCCTCATGTTGTGACCCAACCATAAAATTATTTTCGTTGCTACTTCATAACTGTCATATTGCTACTGTTATGAATCGTAAATATCTGATATGTAGGATGGTCTTAGGCGACCCCTGTGAAAGGGTCGTTCGACCGCCAAAGGGGTCGCGACCCACAGGTTGAGAACCGCTGAGCTGAACGAGCAGGAGCCAGTCTCCGCCTTTAAACCCAATTGTCAGCGCCCAGCGACTTCCAGGAGACAGCGATAGTGGAAGAAGCCGTCGGCGCTAGGGCCTGGAGGCGCCGCGGGGGCCGGGCCAGCTGGGTTTCCAGGTTTGCGTGCCGACGCCAGCGTGGTCACGTGAACGCGCGGCCACGTGACTCCGCCTGCGGCCCTAGGAAGGGGCAGAGGGGACGCGCTTGGATGAGGAGAGAAAAGGGGGGCGGCGGGGCAAGATGGCGGCGCACCTGTCCTACGGACGAGTGAACCTGAACGTGCTGCGCGAGGCGGTGCGTCGCGAGCTGCGCGAA